GAAGGAGTTGCGGATTTCATCAAGAGTGGCAAAGCAAAGAACATCGTTGTTTTGACAGGAGCTGGCATATCCACTAGTGCGGGAATACCAGATTTCCGTTCACCAGAGACCGGTATATACGCCAATCTTGCCGAACTGAATCTTCCTTATGCAGAAGCGGTTTTCGATATCGATTTTTTTCGCGAAAATCCAGCTCCTTTCTATGTTCTGGCAAAAGAACTCTATCCTGGCAAATTCTACCCTACAGTATCACATGCTTTCGTTGCGTTGATCGAAAAGAAAGGATTACTCAGAATGCTTTTCACACAAAACATTGATTGTTTGGAACGTCGAGCTGGAGTCTCTTCGGAAAAGGTCATCGAAGCACATGGAAGTTTCGCTACCCAGAGGTGCATTGATTGCAAGACTGAATACCCCGATGATTTGATGAAGAAAGCTATAGAAGATGCAGACCCAGCGACTTGTTTGGTTCCACAGTGTGGTGGTTTAGTTAAACCAGATATTGTGTTCTTTGGCGAACAACTACCGGAAGCCTTTCACACTCACAAAATGATCCCCGCTACTGCTGATCTTGTCATTGTGATGGGTACTAGCTTGAGTGTTCAGCCATTCGCAACATTGCCAACCCTTGCCCCCGAGACGGTCCCAAGACTGCTGTTTAACATGATCTCCGTGGGCGATTTTGGGAGTAGGTTGGATGATGTGGCTGTTCTTGGTGACTGCGATAGTGGCGTTAGGAAACTAGCAGATGCCTTAGGATGGAGAGACGAATTGGAAGAATTGTGGGTTTCGGTTGGAGGGGACACAAAACAGAAAGAGGCTGAAAAGGCTGAGGAAGCCAAGCTCAATATGTCAAGAGACGAACTCTTTGAAGCAGATATCAAAGAGCTGACAGGTGAAATTGACGAAGCACTAAAGTTTTCGAGTAACCATACACATAGAGTGAACGCCGACCTCCAGAAAAACTCGGCTGTAAAGTCGGCATCCTCTAATTTTGCTCCTGAAGCTATGCCATCGCGACCACCTCCAGATTTTGCTGCTGATAAGGTAAGAACTCTCCGCTTTGTGCCATAGCTCAACTTTTGATATAGGTGAATCTTCGGCCAGCAGTACTAACTAGATATAGGGTTCACTTCTGGCAGATATTACGAATGGACTCCCACTGAAACAGGCCACGACTGTTGTTCGATCCAATCCAATCATAGACGGAAAGCACACCGCAACTAAATCCACGTCCGTGGATCTAAATTCCACCACTGATGAGCGTGCTAAAGAGTCGAGTGTTGTGCTCGACGTCACTATGCCCCAAAATATGCCAAACTCGTCCAATACCACCACAACTCCTTGATCATAGCCACCAAAACTGCTATTAAAGACCAAGGCTAGAAAGATGACAGAGTGATCACATTATGTGGTTTGAACATCAAACTATCTCCTCACTTCACTACTTCATACGGTACATTCTCGTAAGATGTCGTTAACAGAGCTGGCTCTGGGGTAGAAAATTAGTACGTACTTAGGAATGAAGCAAGGGAATTACTGTCAGTCAGAGCAATTATAAATGAATCACGCTTTCACGTCAAATTGAAGATTGTGAAATCTACTTGGGTCCCATTATCACACGCTCTCAAATCAACTGACTTCATTTGAGTCAAAAGTAGGAGGTATCCCAACCGGACTGATGATTTCAGTTTTCCTTGGTATGGGTGTTAATGATAAACCTCAAAATGTTCAATTTATTCCTAGGGCTTCTTTTCATACATCAGAAAGCGCTAAACATAAAGTTGGGCGTGGGAATAAATGCACAATCGAATTTTGCATCACAAACATGTTTTGCAGAAGTTGAGTAGCCTTTCCGTCTCTTGTTCCCTTCCAAGGCCGACTAAATAGTTACAAGAAATGCTCTTCAATGTAGTTCATCAAAGTCGCCGGAAATAGAACCGTTCGTGTAGAGCGGCTGCTTAAACAAACAAAGAGCCTTGTCACATTCTTCTGTCTCTTTTCACAAAGAAAGCTTTGTTCAACAATTTGTGAGCCCTGCCTCAAACACTATAGATGACAATCCATCTCTTTCTTTTCTGCACTTCAATTGAAGCAACTTGTGTTATTATCCGTGGCATATTGAATATCCATAACACACCATGGCAGAAGAAAATGTCTACGATCCCGACCTTGACCGGGACCTCGAATTCTACGAAGGTCCAGATCCTGCCGAGCATGTTGGGATACCAGCGGATATAGAAGCGCCCCGAAACCCCCTTGCATTTCGTGATATTGGGTTGCGGCGTCGTCGGAGACGATGGTTTGACAAGGCCTGGACGTGGAATGAACCATTGAATCCGATATATAAAGGTGCAAGAATTCTCTCAAGTCAGGGTGATTGTTTAGTAGGCCTTTGGAGAGCGGAAACGCAATTTGGGCAAAAGAATATAATTGTGAAGCAACGTCCTCGCTCGTATCATAATTTGAAAGATCCGATGGGACAAAAGTTGTCAGACGAGTCAAAGCATTATGAGAATTTACAATCGCTACTTCCACCTGGTCATAACCATCATATTGTGAAGCTCTTCAAGCGAGCCTGGGTAGATGAAGGTAAAAACAATTTGAGCCAGGACGTTGGGCAAGTGGAAAGAATGATATTGGAATATTGTGATGGTAACCTCGATGATTTCATAAATTGGAACATTAGGCATCATACGAAGGTCTCTGAAAGAAGATCGTGGGAGATCTTTCACTGCCTTGCTCGGAGTCTACTTATCATGAAACACGGCACCGAAAATCCGGCTGATTACCGTCGACAATACGACCATAGGGGGAACGATCCCAACATTGTCCATTTTGATCTCAATCCACAAAATATATACATCAAGAAGTTCCCGCACCCAACACATTCAAGAAATAGAGGCTACGTGCCTGGTTCTTTTCGACGAGCGGCTAAAATTAAGATTCCTCAAGATGAAGAATACCATCGAAAACATTGTAATTCAGGAAATGTCGATTCACGTGCCCCTGAACAATTGCGCGCGCGTGATATGAGGGACACAAGACCATGGCTGCAAAGTCGAGTCACTTATCACAAGGCTGGAAAAGATAATATACTTCAATCGATCGCCTATACATCGAGAACGAATGTCTGGCAAGTTGGTCTGATAATGTTCTGTATAATTCACTGTAGGACATCGGTGAATTGGAACGATCTTGAGGCAAAAAGAAGTCATGGTACACCTAGACTAGTTAATGGAGGGCCTACTATAATGACTAAAACCCATCGATGGGAGAGGATGAACAAGGATCTGAGACTTCCACACAGTCGAAGCTTGCTGTATGCTATCTACGAATGTCTTTTGATTGAGCCTTCGAACAGACCAGATGTTGCAACGTTGTTTGAAACCACAAGAGCCGGCCTTGCTCAGGCTAACACTGAAGCTGGCTTCCCTCCACCAGATCCGGCGGCCGCTCAGCCAGCCGCTCAACCGGCACCAGAACCAGCACCAGCACCGCCCGCTCCTCTTGCTCGCTGGCAAGCACCTCTTCCAGCAGCTCCTCTAGAGGAATTACGTCCTCCAGCCGCCCCTCGAATGGCTCCCGTTGTAGCAAATCTAGAATTGGGCCGTGACGCCGGACCACCAGAACCCCGTCTAGCACCTCCACCAGCACCTCCGCAGCTACCTCATGATCCTTCAGCCCCCAATCAACAACCAGCAGAAGCAGTAACTCCACAACAAGAACCGCCCAACCGTCCCAATGTAATTCGAGCCGAAATTCCCCATCCCCGAGCAGTAGCATATGCCGAGGCTGACGAGCATCTTCCTGCCTACCAGCTTGAAGCCCCCGAAGGCGAAGTGATGCCGCAGCCCGAATGGGGTGAAGGCCTCGAGCGTCCAGCACCCAATTACCCCGAGCCTCCCGCATACGAAGAGCATAATCAGCCTCCAGTCGGGCCGCAACCTCAGCCCGACCCTGATATTCCACAGCCTAGAAATCAATTCCCACCGAGACTCCCCGTCGCAGTCCCTCGTGCTCCTGCACCACCTCCAGCTCCACGTCAAATTCTACTTCCCCCTCTCAATCTCCCCAGAGGTCTCCAACTAGGACCAGATAACCCCGTACTCATGGCCGTTATACCGCCCGAGTATCTCCCCTCTATCCTCATCTGCCACGTCATAGAAAACGATCTCTTCCACCGACAAATCGGTAACATATACCTACGTGGCTTACAACCTGGTACGTCATTTTATGAAATCAAGAATATGTTGGTGGCAGAGGGATTAGGTATTGAGAGAATGAATATAAGGATCAGAGTAGATGATGGGGAAGTGCAGCGAGAATTGGCGGATTGGGAGAGGAGGAGGACTTTGGGGGATGGGGTGGCGGTGTTGGTGGACGATCCGAATGGATTGGTGTTTGGAGAGGCGGGTTGGGAACCACTTTGATGGGTATGAGAGGTGGGATTTGTATATTCCCTTGATGATGATGATGATGATGATGATGATGATGATGATGATGATGATGATGATGATGATGATGATGGATCATCCATGAGGAGAATCAAGATAGATTTTCTTGGATCAAGACATCCACTACATGATTTAGAAATTGGGATGCTTGATTCATTTTTGAAGCAAGGAACGCTCTTTGTTGAGCATGCAAAGAACATAGAGTTCCTGTACATTTCTTACTTTTGATGATCATAAACTTAGAGTCAGTTCAGGGTTCGCTTTGAAATTATTGTGAAGTTATATATGCCGAGAATTCTGGCATGTCAGCTAAAAGATCTCGAATATGCTGTAAGGCAATAATCTGTGAAATAAAACAGCAACATGATGACTCGAGTTTTGTACATATTGGTTAACAATGGTCTTGTTTTCCGTGTCTATTCATTGGCACAATGGCATTGTTTGTGTTGGTATTCAATTTATTCCTGGTATTAATTCTACCGGTTTGATTATCTCATGACATATGATAATATCATCTCACAACTCCGGATTTATTAATCCACACTATGGTAAACTCAGATAATACTCCAACATCTTTGGGTAATTAGGTGTTCCAAGACCCGTCACTGGATCCCATCTGTTCAATCATTAAGTCAGCACTATATCTCCCCAAACCCCCTTCACATTACACACGCAAAGAGAGAGGATGAAGAAAACTCACCCAGGCACCGCTGAGAATCCCACTGTACTACATCCCGGATTTGTTCCATTAACAATATCATTCAACATGCTTGGATTAGCATATAACGATGGGTTCAAGAAACCAATTGGTCCCTTTCCGATATTGATTCTCTCTTCGTTGATTCGATTGATGACAGCAGAAAAAATTGGTGTACTGGCTGATGTACCACCGCTAAGTTCAAAGTCGTTTCCGTTGTACACCTATTGTTCGTTAGCTAGATCACTATGTCAGAACAAAATAGAATAGACGCACAGCAATATTATCTCCATTGGCCGCGACATCAGGAATACCCCTTCCGATTCTGTTATAGATACCTCCAGTGGTCCCCGCCAATGCACCAATATCAGGTAATGTCTGAATATCCCCGGTGTCATTACTCAAAGCGCTATAGTAAGGGTAGGGTGGATTGTAATCCTCAAAGAACTTTGCTACAAAACTAGCCTGATAATCAGGGATTGGATAGATATTACTGAAACCTCCTCCGGAAGAATAATTGACAGAGTATGGATGGCCGGCAGGGTCGTAGACGGCGGATTCGGGTCATAGACGGAATATCCGGGATAAACTTTTGTGGCGCCGACGGATGTTACGTATGGACATGTACCGGGCCAAGTCGGGTTGAAAATATTGAGATCAGGGCCGAGACAGCCGGTTGGGCCGTCGATATCGCCCGGATAGTCTAAATCAATATGTTAGTTTCTTTTACGAAGGAAAAAAAAGTTTAGCCCGAACCAGCCGGTGTTTGGTACTTACTTGAGACACCGGAATCGCCTGAGGCGAAAAGGAATGATACCCCTTGAAGACCCAGTTTCATATACTCGAGACATTGTCGTTTTTGATATGAAATTGGGAGGTCGGATTCTTGTCCTCCGTATGATAGAGAAATTACATTGGTGGGTGTGAAGGTACCGCACATGAGCGATCCTGCCCATCCTCCAATAAGAGGATCTGGGTAGGCTTGATCTAAGTATGGATCGTTACCAGTCTCATTGTAGGCAGTGTAGTTGCAGTATGACTAGAAGATGTGAGCTAATTGAATACTGAAATTCAATCATAATGTTGAACTTACTCCGTCTAACGCATCTAAGAAAGTGTTAAACCCAAAAGTGTAAGTATCATTCTGATTCGCTTGGACGATATAATCGTCAACTTGGTAGAGAGTGATTTGCTGTGGGTAAAGGATCGGGTAAGCAAGTTGAATATCGAGATTTGCCTCCCCACCAGCGTAATACGGATCAGTTGTTGATTGCATTCCACCATCGATATTCGCTGGAATTGGATGTGTGCCATTTGGAATATTCTTTGTAAAGTTTGTGAAGAACAAATCAAGATCATTTTGAGTGTAAAATTGTAGCTCCGACTCAAAAATACCCATAGAATTGTTTGGATGAGATAAGGTCGCAGGTGGTATTTGGTATAGTGCGGCAACACAAGCAGGAGTGATAGCAATATCACAAGTGCTTAAATCAGTGGCATTGGTGCCATTGTAGCTGTGCTTAGCATCTCGTAGTAAACCATGTGTATTCCTTTTGAAGATTTCATGCTCCAACACCTCAGCATTTCGCTTCAACTTATTGTTTGGGTGTTCAATCGGTGCAAGGAGTTTGATACCAGGACTGATGTAATCAATGTGTTTTCTAATATCCTTGGGAACATGATATGTCTCGCATGAGGGCATGACACCACCAGTGATTGAATCTTCATACTCATGGTACTCAGTATACAGCAGATTTTCTGCTTCTTCAGCAGTCGCATAGAATGCAAACCATCCTTTGTTATCCGAATGAGTAATGCGTCCGGCTGGGATACCGGAGTCAATCAACCATTTTCGAACTTCAGCTTCTGTTTGCTGAGTGGGACGAAAAGCCTCAATGACTTCTTCGGCAGTCCAATGTTGTCCAAAATGCGGAGATGCAGGGTCGGATCTATGAAGAGCTGGTTAACTTTGAACCTCTCCTCTGTCTTGGTTGATGTTACTTACATCTTCATCAAATGATCATGTCCTTTATCAAGATTGTTTTGCGTTAGGCCAATTCGCATAGGCAATAACTTGTGTGACTCAACACGATCTTTTTTCGACCATCTCGGGTGTAAACTTTCCCTTTTTTCGTGGACCTCCAAATGGCGTGGTACAACAATCGCACTCACTTCAAGTGTAAGAGCCACGAGGGCAACAAGGCCGGAGATCTTCGTTCTCACCATCTTAATGGATGAGATTAATTGAGGTGATTGATAGATTCAATTCAAAAGGCTGAAGAACTTTCTCCATCATTTATACCTTGGCAGGGACAGCTGCATTTACCCCTCCCAAGATCTGCAGACCCTAGTCCCTTGACCTTGATGCCATACTGAATGAGGCAGGTCGGAATACGTCTCACGAGAGGATGCACGATAACATCCGAGTTATATACTTGATAAGTAGGGACGTTATTGGTTAAAGATGTAAGCTGACGTAGAATGAATAGATACCTCCTACATAGGAAAGAGCTTCATGAATGAAGCTAAATCTTGACCATAAATTTCGTAACAGCTATGAGCTGGTCGAGCTTGAGCGAAGCTCTCAAGCAAACGACGTGCTTTGAGATATATATCTCGACATATCGTGGCAGATCATTTTTAGTAATCCTTCCGTTGTTCGTACAAAAATGTTGTGTTGTGACGAGAGCTTGACAAGGGCACTAATCCATTTGCCCCACTCCTTGATAAGTGAACCTTGATACCATTATTGCTCGATACGAGAGCAATTTATATTGCAACGACATAGTAAGACTTACCACAAAGAGCCCAAGAGCCCCTCAAGATTATCGATGCCGGTGGTGCCGGTAACACGCAACAGGCGGTCAGGAAGCCGTGATAACAACATGAGACTCTTGCCAGAATTTTAATCGTGTGTAGGACGAAACGACATAGAAATAGTCATCCCAATGGATGGCATGACGATAATCTCTGAAGTTCTCAAAAGATTCCAAAGATTCATGGTTGTGCGAGACCAAATCCATGGTTGTTATGTTGCGGACTAGGATCACAACTAGTTATGTAGCTCTGTGATGCAAAGACATTTCCAACTCACGATATTCGCCGCAAGTCGAGGAGCAAAGAGTCCCCTCATCATTATGATCTTCAAGATGATTTCAGTGCTGCCATTCATCAATTTCATCTAGAGTTCTAACAATTTCCGTCTCACTCCGATGAAACGTTCTTTCCCAATTCGTTCTCGCCTCACGTCGGATTCCCTTTGAGACTTAATTTCTCACCACAACTCAAACGTTGATGCTCACTTATCCCATGACATAAACTCCCTAATTGACTATAGTCAAATAGGCCGAGCGTTGATAAACTTACTTACATGCCAGTAGTCGCAAGTACCTAGGTATCTATTGTTCAATACAAAAATTTCTGTTTCCACATCTTTTTGTGTGCACTTTGAGTTGAACACACAATCTTCGGTCGTAAGATTCACATACACAACTCCAATTTATCCTCAATAACTTCAAGATACATAAGAGTGCATCTATCTATATTAAGTGAAGATATGGTCTGTATTGAAAAAATATGGACTGATAGCTTCATGTTATAGTGTCTATCAAAAGAACTTCTGTGGAAACACGAGAATCTATGTAAGAGTTATTCTTAATGAATCTGGCTAGGGAGTATATCCGGCAATGCACATACTCAATATCTAACCAAGATAAGCATCGCTATTCAAGAACTTCTTGATGTTTGGTCTGTCCTCCACAGCATCCACTAATTGCACTAATCTCGGATACTCTTTCAGTCCTTTTCGTCCATCTTGAGTAAGACTTTCATCGTGGAGTAATTGATATAAAGCCATGTCTGCATATGTGATTTCATTGCCACTTATGAAAGGCCCCTTTTTCGAAAGCTCCGAACCCTTCAAGTGTGTTTCGATTGCATTGAGGTATTTCTTCTGATCGCCTTGTTGATGTTTCGGATAGTCCTCTTTTTGGTTGTCAGAGAAGAAAGCTGAAATGAACAGAGTTCGCCCTGTAAACCGTTTGTGAGTATTTTTGAAAAGGCATTTAAATGAAGGGGGCTCGCTTACAGTCAACAACAATATCGCAGATTGCATCAGCCCAATATTTCTCATCTTCATTTTTCCCGTCATACGCGCCTAGCAATCTTGACCAATGCCTAAGGATAGCATAACTCTGTGTCAAGATTTTTCCGTCCGGCATCTCGACCACTGGTATATTTCCCGTAGGATTTATTTCCGCAACTTTCCCACTTCTCTTATGTTCAGGCCATTCTTCGAACGTGTATCGAATATCTTTGAATGCAGCTCCTGCATCGATGAGCCACAATCGAACTACTTGACCTCGACCTCGGGATTGGAAATCGAAATAATGAATAGTAGGAATGCCGCCAATATCTTTGTTTGCTGCACTTTCTGTGCCGTATGTAGAGGATTGAGGCATTTCGTACGTATCTAGGTATGCAAATAGTCTTGAATATTCGGAGTAGAGGACGGCCTTTAGCAATAATGTATCTCGCGGGGTACGTAGCAGGATTTAAGTATCCACAGAGGAATATGGGGATATCTTGTAGCTCAAACTAGTGGTTAATAATGGCCATGTCTGTAAGAGCTACCGCCCTTAGCACAAACCTTGTACTGTAATTCCAAATGCATGTTCTATTCCTACCTGTATCATTGAACGGTGTCAATCACGCCCTTCTGAAACCCCGCATTCACAATTCCAAATGCAATGTCATTGTTGCAGAGCTAAATATGGTTGATCAAATCCATTTGTACGAATGCACACAATGCTCTGTCTCGTAGCTTTCTAGCCCCAATAGGGTTAGCATCAAGGGACCAGCGGAGCCTTCGACACTGCCTCCTACGAAGTGGAAAAGTCTCGATCGGATCTTCTTGGTAATCGTCAAGTTGTCATTCCATAAAATCTCTCCAAATCCCGTTGAAAGCAAAGAGGTTTTATAGAGACGAGCATTTCCGGTAGTTCAAAGTTGCGCTTTTGATTCGAAATAGTTTCGGACGAAATTCGGAGTGTGCCTCGGATGTTATGGGACTAATCGGTTGAATCATAATGCAAATCAACCAATCATGATGCATAATGGCTCTGCAAAATGCTCACTTCAACATAAACCTAATTTAGGCGCCGCCACCATCCAAAAATCATATGATTTCCCTGCTGGCGCAATGGTAGCGCGCAAGACTTCTAATAGGCCTCAAACCTATAAGATGGCATCTTGAGGCTACAGGTTCGAGCCCTGTGTAGGGAGTTACCCTGAGTATCATCGGTTTGAACCCGTTGCTAGAAATCATTTTTTGCCCCTTTTTTGCAATAGGAGGGGAATAGTTGCCGATTTTTTAACATCGTTGTCTAATTTGGCTGGTGAGCAGTAACATGGTGGGGTAAATTTGGACTTAAATCCTTCCGCACGGACATTAGTGGAGTTCAAATCCCTTGTCAATGTTGGTTATGCTTCTTTTATCTCCTTTTATTTGTGGTTCACGAAGACCTGGTAACCTCGCCGAGATATCGCTCAGATTCACCGGAGAGCCAACCGGTCCCTCCATCACCTTGTCTCTCCTTTGTCCCGAGATTTGCCTAATGGCTTGGGAGATCTGTGACATGAATTTTATCTTGTCACAAATATTCAAATATTTGATACTGTGATACTGATATTGACGATATCTTCAAAGTGAACCTAATTACCCCTTGCTAATCGGCATTATTTGATACATCAAATTCAATGTGTCTGACCACCGCCATTTTCAACTCGAAATATCTACATGCAGTGATACCGTTACACTGAGTGGGTGTAATCTCAAGCCCCAATGGAACAGTCATCGAGATCTCTTGAGTTGTTATTTGTAGCCGCGACATTCGCGAATATCTTGGAGGCAAACAAACGTTCAATGTCAGATTGATTGAAGTCGAACATCTCCTAATCTGGTAATTTTGAGCGAGTCAAAGAGGTTGAGAAAGTTCCAGCCCTTGCCCCAGTGGCTTTTGTTGCTGGGGGAAAGTTGTCACACAACTTCAGCCAATTATAGACCGATTGAACATCCGAGACACCGCAGTCACGCTGGGATTCAGGGTCATGGAACCGGTGCTGAGATAGTAGTGGACATATACGGGAGACTGCTGACATCCAGAAACAGCGACTTTTGGGTGTAAGTCCGGTGTCGAAGTAGAGGGACAGAACGATATTTCACTGCCATGTTCCAGCCTACTCCTTGGCCATTGAAAGGAATCTCCATTCGAGACATGGTCGTCCATGACACGATAGGATTGATTGGCCTACAAGACACCGAAATCAGACATCCCTCTGCACCCCGCTTTCAGTGAAGCAAATGCAGGGAATTATCTATGTACTCTCTGTATGCTATTTACCACCGATATATAAGTAATTGTGGCATATTCTGATCAAAATTGGCCATTTTGAACAATAAACGTCTACATACAATCATCAACTCTACGTTAATCTCAGGATCTATTATACAGTCCTAATTTACAATCTGTCCGACGCATCGAGAGGTAAGCTTGAGGCTCCTATACATCATGAAGGAGAGAATGCCAATCGAACGTCTAGAAAATGTCCTCAATAACCAATGTCATGCGTCTCCTAAACAATATCATCACTGGTGAATACCCAGAATATCTTCCACGCTCTAGTTCCGAAGTCATCACATTGCTCGGAGGGTTGAAGTCCAGGGAAGAGGTTTACCTCTCGCATGATCGGAGAATGAAAGGAGTCACGAACCACGAGTTGAAGGGAATGTATGACTTTGTAGCAGCTTCTATCGTGATGGTCACAGACATTACCAAAAAGCTCATGGATTTGGCTTCTATTGATTCTAGGGTCAAATCATTCCATGTATATGCGGCCCTCAGAATTCTTTATCTGGCATTCGGTACTTTTCAGAGGTTGGCTGGCAAAGTCAAAACGCTTCCCCAGCCAGAAAAAGACCGTTGCTTCGGCTACGTGGGAGGTTGCTGCAACTACTCCATTCTATTTCAAAAACTCCTTTATCCCGAAGACGAATGCGATCACCTCGAAATCTACGCCCAAGCTCTCCGGCATGATTTCCAATTCTGTTTCAAGATAGATACCGATCAGGATTACTCTTCGCCAGGCTCATCTCTGAGAAACGGATTCGAGAAAACGCTCAGCGCATGTATACCTCCTGCAAATCAAATACCGGTATACTGTCATTTAACAGCACAGCCTGACAAGCCGGTGTGCCCACAGTTTTATCGAAATCCATATTTTTATGGACCAAGAAACCTTCGCAATCAGGATCATGAATCGAACCGAGACTATTTCAGGATGAAGGAAGATAGAAAGAGAGGAGTGTATCGTACGAAGGCGACAACAATCAATGATATAAGTTACAACCATGGAGGAGAAGTAGTCAAAGAACCGAAAGTACAGGTAATGCGTCGACAGAAGCGACAGGTATGTGCGAAGATTCCCTTTCCCGTCTCAATCTACCAGAATCATCAAAATCGTGTTGCACAGCCTACGTTTATGGCTAATATTAGATTATAGACACGCGATCTGGAGGCGCGATCTGGGTAAACACACACAGCATCATAAGGAAAAGCCAGATTTGGGCGTTGAGTGATGAAATTTACTTCATGATAATGATAATGATAATGGAGATATACGACGAACAACTGCGACATGACGAAATAGCATATTAGAAGGTTGACTTTTTGGATAGTGGAATGAATCGTCATGAAACATTTACATGTATAAGATAATGAATCACGAATATCTATTTCTCTATCTACACATCTACACACACAATGACTGCCAATTTGTGCATGATACTTCAAAGCGTTCAACCATCCCTGCTGCCAAAAGATACAAAGTTTCAAACACCAACTGAACCAGAAGTTCCACGGGCTTAGACATCCGGTCTAGCCGTACCAACATCTCCGTAATTTCCACCAAGCCAACAAAAGGTGACATTGGCATTCCCCGGCCAGAACCCCCCAAAAGAACCCTTCCCCAAAATCCCAGTCGGTAAAGGCAAGGCTAGATCCTAAAAACATAGTCCACGACCTAGGAAAACAAGTTACGAATTTAAAGCGGCTAACCCGTCAATATTCCAGAACTCCAGTCTCCAACCCCTCACTTAGTCTCTCTTTCTCTGCCCACTAAACCCCTAATTATCCTCCCCTAAACCAGAACCAGAACCAGGTTTTAGATATTACACGCATGCAAGTATCCCTCCTCAAAGCACGTTCAGTTCCCTGCATCTGCATCCCTATCCAAGTTCCAATTCCAAGTGGCAATCATCACTCCATCCAGAATCAAGCCATTAACACCAGTCATCCTTTTCGGAAGCCGCTGCATATCCCACTGCATACAACTGCAAGCCCTGCGGCTGAATTTTCCTGTTTCGCTACGCATGGCGAAAATTTCCACATGCTGATCGTATGATTGCTGCTGGGATTTTCCAGACCGCTTGAAAATCATTGCAACGCGGTGCAGGTGGCTTAAATGCCTCTTACACAGTGTGCTTCAAGGGCTTCTGCAAGTAAAGAATTACCGGTAGGTAGGCGCGGTAAGTAGGTAGGAGATGCGAAGGATTTGTAGGCTTTTCCGAGGCGTTGTGTGATCCATATTCGGCCTTCTAGATTTTAGTCATAATTGGTAGCTAACATTTGTGGTGACTTCGAAGATCACGATCGAGAACATGGGAATGAGAAATGAGGAACTATATTGATCTAGATTTGAGTATCGATATGATGGGCTATTGCAATATTTGAAGGGATATACAAGCTCCTGTGCTGGTTGATGACAATGAGTCCATATGATGGGGTATCGATATCGTATCCATTTGCTAGCTAATATTTATTTAGAATTTAGTAACCATCACACGTAGCCGCCACAATCCTCAGGGTGCTGCTCCTCTCAATTTTGATCAGGATCCTAACCACCATCGTGCATCTTCCCTAGTTCAAGAACTTCGTCGCGATAATTTCCTTTAGCAAGCTCATCTCTCAACCATTTCCCTTCCCCGTCATACAATTCTTCAAATACATATGAAGGAGCCCATTTCTCTTCCTTGATCTTCTTGCTCTCATCCTTAAATTGATCAGGGATTTCAATGCCCTTTTCATCACTAAGCATGCAGTTGTTTTTAGCTTCCACAATCTTCACATCATCGAATTCTTCCATGGTAACAGGCAAGTTTCTCGTGTCTTCATCTTCCCAGATACAACATTGATGTTCCTGTGCACCTGCAGTAAGAAGACAGGGACCTGCACTGCTGGGAAGTGGCCGTAATGACGAGATACAATGCTCGTGCTCTTGAATATTCTTCATTATGATACATTTCTTGTAGTCGGGATGATAATGCTTCGAAGTAAAATGGAGTGACCACTCGCAATCGTCCTTTCCACGATCGCACAATTCTGTAATAGCTGACAGGTTTCTCTTCTTCTGGTATCTCTCCAACAATATTGTAGGGTTTCTCCTGAGAAGTGGATGTGCGGCCGAAAGTCTCGAATGTTCTGCGTCTTTCGCCCGACTCTCCTCGACCTGCTTTCGAGTCCAATCCAGTAGGCGTAAAGCGCAACGTATGCCTCCTCCATCCCGATCCGCTAATAACTCCATGAGATCATCACTGGGAGCACGGAATTTTCTACTCTCCATGTCCAAAGAAGGAGACCTGGTGGATGATCTAGCAGTGCTGTCAAAATGACCCAAATCACTCCGAGTATCATCAAGATCCGTTCGACGAAATTTCCTACGATCGGGTGAGGATAGGATTCTCTGTGGGTGAATGAGACTACTCTGGATAGGCCTCGGTGTTCCTTTCGATGCGAGATTCATGATATTTTTCCAGGCAGCATCCAAATCCCTAGATACCAGCCTCGGTGTAAAACTGACATCTTCATTCAATGGTCGGGGCTCGTTCATACATGGCGAAATGGGTGGTGTGTGCAAGCCTCTTGGTAAAATACTGCAATGCGTTGCTCGAAGTGGAGACAACATTGGGGAGATTATCTGCTGATAATCCTTTGTCATGCTCTTATAGATGTGAGAAAATAGAGACCGAGCGTTGGAGGATTTCAACCACTGTTGTTCATCAGTGTTGACATTTCTTTCGGGTATTCGAATATATTTAGTCGTTGCGGGCTGTCCATCCAAATATTGACATATGCCCCAAATCCATAGAGTAAAATTGTTTCTGCCATGGAGTTTGAGCTTTCTGATGTTGCCCCCAAATGACCATACTTCATTGCCGGGTCCGCGCATTTTCGGGAACCAACATACATGAGAAAGCGGTACCGATCCTGTTTCCATAGTTCGTAGGTTAATGACGGGAACGTCATTTTCGTAGCCGTCTCCCTTGGCAGTGATAAATAGCCAAAATCGGTCACCAGGTTGGTAGTCGAATTCAGAGTCGCTTTGGATCAATGCCATGCCATGAGCATCCATCTGCGTAGCCTCCGTAGCGATCCCTGCATTTTTGTAGGCAATACTCCCATCCTTTTCGATATCTTGTACGGGCATGAAACAAACCGAATTCTCATCTTTGCCTTTGAATCGTCTCACAGGTATGAGTGTCTCGTTCGCAATTTTCAGCACCGGAGACTGAACGACGACTCGATGACCTGGCTGAGCCCATTTTGAGGGCCGCGCTACAAGAACATACCTACGTACTGGAACTTTGCAATCCATAAAGACTGCTACTATTCGAATTGCTGAAGCTTAAGCTTTTTAGAGCGGAGTATGTGGTAAACATTGAAGCGACCTCTTGACGAAATTTTGCGAATCATTCAGTATTGATTACTTGTCATATTTCAATACCGTGTGCTAAAAGGTAACCTTCACATAGGTACCCATATTACGGGTGTGCCCTTGCATGTGGCTGAGATGCTCGCACGCATCTTTTTGTTGACCCAATAAGAACCATTTCAGCTGAAGAGCTCCTACACCGCAAAACGCGCTGGCAAAAGAAATATCGAAAGAATGCTTGCAAAATAAGCATTGAAAAAAGCAAGTAGTCTCTTATGTATTCGCGCCAATTACCGCAAATATGTTTCAGCCCCGTATGTGCTTTGCTTTGAGTCAGGGTATATTTGCCTCTGGTGCTTTACTGGCTGTCTTGATTGTGAAGGTTGTCCCTGCCGTCATTCTAACATCCATCAATCTCCATTGTATCGTAGTCGCCGAACCCATTCCGACTCTATGGTTTCTTGGACTGTTCCGTACCATCATCCAGCTGCTCCCCGGCTCCTCCGAGAGCGTCTTTCCCCTTCTCGCCCTTCTCAGCAGAATACTCCTTGGGATCAATATTCAGTTTAACCATCATTGCATTTACCCACTCCTCCATTTGCTTCTCGTCCTCTGGGTTTGTTTCTTGAGCGAGCAATCCCATCTTTGCCCGATATCTTTGCCTCAGGTCAGCGACCGTCGAAATATCGAAAGCCCATAGCAGCCCTCCACTAAGCATTACGCTGATACTGGCCACATTTATAGTTGCTACACTCAAAGCTTCCAATGCCTCCATAGATCCATCCACTTCATGAACCCGATTACTAGGTGTGTAGAATTTTGGCAGCATCATCTTATATTTTCGTACGAGTGCTCTGCGAGTGACAAAAGCCGAAAGACCAACGAATGCTGCACCGCCCATGAATAGACCAAATTGACGCCGTGATCGTTGTGAGAAAAGTGAAGAATCTATTGCCGTGGTGGGAGCTGCTGGTGGGGGGGTTGTAGAGGAGGATGTGGGTTGAGATTCGGCCATGGTTGAGGGATCTTGTACAAATGCCATGAATAGACTAGGAATGGGCGCTTTCCTTACGGATCGAAAGTATGAGCTGATGTTAAAATTCGAACGCTACAGCTAGAACGTTTATAGATCTAAGGAAGCTTTTCATGTTCTGAAAAATTATGCTTACGCGAAAAAGGTTTAGCGTCGTTCTACAGCGTTAGTTGTAGTGCTGTAACCTAAATTTTTAGAGTTTCTCCGGTTGACCTGGCCGGGAGATATATTTGTGTCAAAATCCCTATATAAATATTCAATCCGGGAAGCTTCCATTTGTGAGTTGTGTTGTCTGCAAAGATCTATACTAGATGGTGTGAGAGTCCCTCCGTCAGCTAGCTAGTACCGTCGTGATAATCTTTTCATTTCCGTGCGAATAGAATGATCTGTAATTGTGTTTGTATCTTTGATTTGTATATCAATTTTGATATCATTATTCGTGGGTATTATATATATTTGCTGAATGCTCTATAAATTTATATTCTTTTCCTCCCATGTTGATTTACTTGGGTCCATCTTCCTTCCCTTTCTCCTTTTCCATGCCAGCCTTTGGAGATTTCAGTTCCTCGAGTTCCTTGGCCAATTTCTCTTTCTCTCTGTTCAAATCCATATCCAGGACGATTTTGACTTCCGGGCAGTATTCCAGAATATGTTTTCTGCGCTCTTTATTATCCCAGACGGCTGGGATCAAAAATTTACCACTTCCTATTAGATGATAACCAAAGGGCTTCTCATACCACTGGCTTTCCACGCTGAATTTGACTTCTACGTCTGGTCCAGGCATTTTGGCAGCATTCGATGCTATGAGGCGATCGCATATCCAACGATCTTCCCACGGAGTACCGGGCTCACGAACTTCTTTTTCGAGAATTCTAAGGATGGGAGGGATATGCCTGAGACTCAATCCTCCATTCCCACCTTTTACGGCCATATTCCATGGGGCACCTACCCAGGAATAGTCTTTGGAAATCCAGTCTTCTATGTTATGCTCAGAGGCTGCGCATATCATTGAGTCGCTTTGAAACATCAGAAGCCACTCTGCAGGAGCGAGAAAGTCTCTGTAGAAGGTCAAATCTGTAAGAGTCATGCTTATAGTCTCTTGGTCTTTGATGGCATATTTCTCGGGGAGCTCGGTAATGACTAGTTTTCCGGTCTTAACATGGCCAGAAAGAGACGAGGAAGATGAGATCAATGCATTAGCTTCAGGGGTTCCAACGAAGCGGAAAACCCACGGTGCGGGTAAAACAGATATAAAATGTGCGAGAAGAGCGGGCAAATGAGGTAAGGGCCGAGTTTCGAGAAGGAGAGCAACCCGCGTCTGGTCCAATTCAACTTTCGTATTAGTCGAACCTCCTTTTGAGCCTGTCGAAGCTACACCAGTTGAAGGATTTGATTCTGTCGCTATAGAATCGCCTACCACGCCCGACCCTCCTGGTGCTAGTTTGTCTAGGTGGAATTTCGATATTGATGACAAGTCGTATTGATAGTAAACAACTAACATAAGCAAACTTCTGCGAATAGTTAGAATTAATGTCTAGCGTGGTACGTCGAATATACAGAGGAGATTCCCAAAATTCCTGGGGATCAAATAATGGGTCAAAATCCCCAGACAAGATTGGATCTTATCGCTGAGCGCGCAATCCCCTCTGGTGCAAGAAACAATGGACATACAAAATACCAATCGCGAAAATGAAACTCCTGTGCATCCTTCTATTCCACAGACAGGACCCCGATTCGTGTGACGGCGCCATAGTGGAAGTATTAACGAGAGTGTTTGCGATCTCTTATAGAGGCGATATGTATCGAGACGTAAATTTCATACATATGAACTCGAGACTCGTAGACGATGAAGGGAGACGTTACGTGATATACAAAATAAACATTATGGAAAAAAGAAGAGAGTGTTAGTAAGGGGAAGTTCGTATCTTGGCTGCGCAGTATTGCAGTGAATAATCGGAAATATCAATGTGGATGTGATAATCTTTTGTATAGTAAGCCAATCTGATGTGATGATAATGCTGGCATTATTATGCGCCATATGAAGTACCCTTGGGGGCAACTTTGAATTCGAGCGGGGATATTTAGGTGATTCTTCCACATCTTGGCACTGAGTGATAGGTTAAAAGATTCAGGATTTTGTGGATAAACCGTCTAGTCTGTATGTTTTTGAAATTACGATTGATCTTCTCAACGATTATCCATCCTTGTTTCATCCCATATCGATGTAATTATATCAAACGAGTACGCTAATTTCATACCAAGACTCGTATTCTGCTTACCTATTCTGTAATGAACTCCCTATAGCTTAAGAGTTCATGCAATAAGTTAGGAAGGCATTGATAAGGGGTATGCTATGGGTCCTCGATATTCGAAACCACCATGCTATTTTCAAAACTAGATGATAGGATATCGAGAATCTGGAGATTGGATTGGAATTTCTGGATCTATCGTCCTTCTTTGGAGCTTCGGTCTTTGACTTGCGAATCTTTTCCTTCTCGTCTGTGGTCTTGGGACGAAACCTAAGAATGTCAGATCCAAACTCCTTGCAAACCAGCGGAGGGCTTCTAGGCTGCATCATGAGATCCTCTTCGACATACCTAGTTATTAGTTACCATCACCCACTTCTGCTTGTTCTCCCAGAGAGAATAGGGATGGCTATTTATGCGAGATTAGTACGTAGTAGCTGAATTTAGTCGAACAGTGACTTGTTCTGGCTAATGGCACCGTCTAGCATCATTGGAATCATCGATTAACCCAAGGCTCATGTCCATTTTTTATATCGTGAATGATGAGATCGCCTACTGGGTACTTATCTTTTTCTCCACGTTAATCTTCTGCCTAGGCAATGAACCTATGAGTAGAGATGTTGATATGCGATAGGACACTCCATTTGGAATCTCCCATCGAATTTGATAAAAGGAGGAATCGTATCGTTCTCCAGCCATGAGCTTTTGGTGCTTTAAATCGCTGTATTTAGCACGCTTCACCCTGGATTGAAACCCTGAACAGGTTGACGTGGGGTTGCAGACGCTAAGTTTGTCATCATCTAACGCTAAAAAGACGTCATGGCTACGTCAACAGCCCAAAGTGCATGCTCACACACAATTAGTTACCTCGTTCATCAGCTTATTAGGATATTTAGTGATACTCAACAAAAAACCATTCTCAATATCTGAATTAGAACCCATCATTCAGTATGACCAATATCCTGATTGTAGGCGCCACTCGTGGTTTAGGTGCTTCACTTGCGAACAATTACGCTTCGCAGCAATCAACAACCGTTTATGGAACCACTCGCGCTGCCACTGGCCCATCCAATCTGAGTGAAAAAATTGTATGGATTCCTAATATCGATGTCGCAGAAGAGGGAGTAGGCAGGAAATTGGTGAACCAGCTGGGGATGCTCGGAGGTGGTGGTGGAATGGTTGAGGGTGGACGAATTACATTTGATGTTGTTGTATGTCCGCTCACTTAATTCAATTTCATTAGAAGGAGGATATGTCGAGGGCGTTGTACAAAAGCTCAATGTGACTGACTGGATCTCAGATTATCACAGCTGGATATTTTGCCACAGAAGACTTCGTCAATGGTCCAAAATGGGATGAGCAAGTGAAGATGTACAGTAAGTAATTTGCAAAATCTTCATCATGCCGAATCTCGCGTCCGTATAGACTAATGTTGTGCCTCTAGCAACATCAGCCATCTCTCCTCCCTTCGTAGTCCAATCTTTGTTCCGCGCCAAGAACATCACCAAAGGTTCCAAAATCCTTCTCATCTCCTCCGAATCGGGCTCAATTACTTTGCGACACGAGAAAGAAGGTGGTGGTAATTATGGACATCATGCGTCAAAATCCGCCCTCAACATGGTTGGAAAGCTCCTTTCGCTAGATTTGAAGGAGCATGGAATAATTGTATCAATTTTGCATCCTGGATTTATGCGAACAGAGATGACAAAAGGGGTTGGATTTGATAAATATTGGGATGACGGAGGAGCAGTAACACCCGATGAAGCTGCGAAGAGCTTGGTTGAATGGACAGAGAAACTAGACATCAGTAAGTCGGGTCAATACTGGGCACCAAGGGGTCCTAGAGATATTGGTACCGCGGATGTAACAATCGGGACGGAATTACCTACACCTCTGCAACTACCATGGTAGTGGTGCCGATGAGGGTGGGACATAATGCTTTATGACGGTTATGATAATGAATAGTAGCGCTGCTTCATTTGGGGTAACTCTTTTAAATTTGACTAGGTATCGCAGTTTGAAACATGACCATACAAGCAAATATAAGAGTGAAAAGCGGGATAAAATTTGACATTGCGGATAATTGAGAAAATGAATAAGGGCACGGAGATCTCAGCTGGCTAACAGCTTTTCTCGGAATTCCTCTCATCGCTATTATTTTCTGGGTGAGAAGAAATAAAGCAGAGCGATAGTTTACGGTTGTGCTATTCCTGAAAACACTCCATATTGTGGTACTGGAAGTTTCCTTTCATTTTGAATCCTGCTCCGAAGTATTCGCAAAAGTTTAGAACACCTTCAAACTTTTGTAGTTGTTTTAGTTACTTCGTTAATATTCATACGCGTCTCTCCTCTTTTCGATTTCTTTCGTTGAGACTGCTTGACTTGGAGATGTTTTGCCTCAAGGCTTGTCCCCTTCATGTTGGCTAAAAGGAAAGCTTTAGGTCGTCTTCCGCCTACTATGAAAGATGATGGTTACAAAGGAGTAGAGAAGCGTGTCTATGCTGATATTTACATATGAGCTGTGGCAAGGAAAGTACCCTGTTCATGGCTGGCGGTCAATGATTGCTATCAAGCATACCGATATCTCCTACTTGTGAAGCTTGCTACCAACAGCTTGGTAGGATGTTTATGGTAAATAACACAGTTGTGATGATTCATGAGTTACTTGAGCACTTAGTACGTATGCCATTATACGAACCTGTGATGCCGTATGAAAATCGAGCACATCTCCTCGTAACCGGTCGCCCTTTCCATTTCGAGAAATCTCAATTTTGATACAGAACAGTGCCAACTAGGGGCCGTACTTTACCTTTATCTCAATTCAATTTTCGAATAATTTGAGTCTGTCCACTCACACTTTCAAGCTTCAAGCAACAGGACCACAGTCATCTCTCTTTCCAGAAATTCACTTGACAACAAGATCATTCGCTGATCTAAAAAAAACAAAACAGTCACAAATTATGGAATTCAGTAAAGAAAATGTGTATGCAATCACAGGCGCATGTTTGATATTTGTAGCCGCGATTCTTCTTTACTTTTCTTTCCGCCAACCTCGTAAGACCAAAAACAACTCTATTTTAAACCTTCTAGAACTACGGCAACTTCCAAGACATCCTCGACCAGCACACATTCGGCAACCGAAAGTCTCACATTCGATACATACTCGATCACCGGTGAGTTCACGTTCCACACATACTCGGCAAACAAAGCGGGCGCATTCAACACATACGCGGCATCCAAGGCGAACGCCAATCGCACACACTCGCCCTCCAAGACAAATAACAAGAAGCTCTGAAGAAGGAAGCAAATAACATCATTAAATTGTTCCTGCAGAATCTTCAAAGATGCATCACAACACTAAGCAAGGCCTAATATTCCTTGCATTCTTGATTGCCTGTGGAGGAGGTATCGCTGCCTTTATCCTTTTGCGCAATTCCCATAACCAGCATCCACATTCCGGAAAGCGTGAAATGGGGGGCATGGATCCAAACAAGATTTATGCTAGGAGTCTCCCTACAAGCGGTGTGACTACTAGTAGATATGTTGGTCTTGAGAAAAGCGAATCACCCCAAGTTCACCCATCTTATACTCATCACAGCACGCAATCTCAACATCGCAATAGGCATCGTTCATTTACTCCAGAGAGAGAGATTGGTAATAATGGCAGTCAATTCGTCACCATTCCGACTACTACAGCTACATCAGCCAATGTACAACCATTATCGACCGCTGCTACTAGTAGTGCTTCGTCTATCGATATCTACTCATCCTTCACAGTGGAACCCTTGAGTACTTTGGCAGCCGCAGTAGGGTTCCAAACCTCTGCTGCTTCGTCATCAGATCCAATTTCTGACACTAGCCTGATTTCTACAACTCCGACGAGTCTGCAGCCATTGGCCACTACTGGCAGTGGACACAGCCATCTTCGTAAGTTTCGAGGTTGAGGTTATGAAATACGGAGCTGGAACTAGGAGCTATTAGGGGTAGGAATCAAAAAAATTCCGTTCACACAGTAGTGGCAGGACTTCGTGTAAATATTCAGTGATAGACTTCTTGGGAAATATGTAGATATGTGGATCTGGACGGCGCTTAGACTAGGGGGGGTAGTTTGTAGAGATTTCATAGCTCAACGGAATTGGATATACTTGCATTGCTTTTTACTATCAACTGTTGCAACTTTAATGGCATCTTTCCCAAGTTGATTTTTTGATGGCCAGTATAACCATAGTGATTCATATGTAACTAAAGTTGTTGACACAGATTCCCAATCACGATCTAGTCATCTAGCCCTAGTGCATTACGAGTCATGGGAATTGTGAATGAGGTCCTTTCTTGAGTACTTGAACTCAACAAAACTCTCAGTTGCTCGATAATATTACAGTCTCTATTCAATATCTCCAATTTCATCTCCAACAAAGCCTTCCAATCAATTAAAACTCAACCTACATCTTCCGACTTCCAGCTCAAAGAACTTGGGTCTTGTGGTGTTGCAGAATATTACTTGATAGTCCTCACATTTACAATAAATTACTTGCACAACATCCTTGAGAGCCTTCTAGCTCAATCTCAAAACCCATATTCCAATTCCCAGCACCTCTCCCACAACAAAAGTTCCCGTCTCGAAGCCATAATTCCAGAATTACTGAGGGCGTTCCATGCTGCAGTGTGCGCAGTAGCCATTTTGGCTGTTGCTGGATTTCTATTGTGGAAAGCAAGAAGGGCTCCGGTGCTCCCAGTGGTACAATATAGTCAGCCAACTATGCCTTCAGCTCCTGATAGGCAGAAGTATCGACAGGAGTCTGGAATCATCCATAACATGTTTTAATGGCGATGCTGGAATGTTTTGGCTATATATGGGGCGTTTTGGTGGAGTACTGAATGGCAGTGACGTACTCTTTATGTCTTGCTGGGGGTGGTCGGAATGCGAGGTTCTTTGAATGTGTTTGGAAAAGAGGAAGCTTGGAATCGGTACTTGGAGGGGATACGTGAGCTTGGTTGTGCTAAGTAGAAATTAATGTTCTTAAAATATGATCTAGCTAGCTGCCTTACTAATAATCATACTTCAATTCATCAACAGCCCTCTCCTTTATCTACAGTATTAAACTCTAGACGCACCATCATTCCCGTCTGTGGGATTTGAAACCATGTGCTTTCACTCTCTATTAGATATTCTAACATGTTCCTTAAATCTAATCAAAGTGCATCCTGTACACTTCTCTGCCGTGGTATTTTTAAAGTAGTGACTCGCAATCGAAATTTCTCTATGAATCATTAATATGACTCATACAAATCGTTCTCCATCTATCCAACATATTAGTAGTCATTGCGATCTTAGAGTAGACTGGCCGTTGATGCACCTCGCGAGTTTTCAATCTATCAAATTTCCAACATTCAAGAATCCAACACGTTCTTAACATCACAACTCACTTCCCTAAGTCAGACTCTAAATTTTTCATTGAGAAGCTATCCCATACTAACCATTAAATTTCTTGTCTTTTAAGTCTCCTCACTTGAACTGACAATATTCACATCACTGAACTCCAAAAATTTATATCTTTGTATCTTCGCATTCCTACATCCTCCACTTCTCGTCGCCTTATCATTTGGAAGCATTCTCAGATTTTCATCCCCTCAGCATTTCAGCTCACTAGATCTTGACTTCATTTCATCACGCTAGAACCCCAACACAGGATCCCGCAACCTTCAATTAGATTGCATTGCTCACGTTTCCGCACCATGTCGCCCTCCGAGAAACTTCTCAATTCCACGGGTTTCACTCACAACGCCAAAGAGATTCCTGGAGACTTCTCTCTTTTGGTTGAACTCCTCTTAGTAGTAGGTGTCGTGCTCATTAGAGGTATTGCAATGATACTTATAGTGTATAACATTGAGAGTTATGGAGACAAGAAGAGAGCAAGAAAGATTCTTGTCGACAAAGAGTTGCAGTGACTCAAAGGTTTAGGACTCGCACGAGTCGCATATAAGAGTGGTATTAGTCACTTTAAAGAGCCATTCGAAGCAGTTCTTCGTAGCCGAATCCTAGTCGAAAGAATAGGAGTCACTCGTTCCTTGAAGGTTATTTAGCTTGTTGGACCTTTCAGAATTTTCAAAATTTACCAATACTTCCTTCAACAACTTCTAATACTGCGACTCTCAAGATCCAAAGTCCATCCAGTATTCTTCCATACCATACTGCTCAACCAATCCGTCTCAAAATTCAGTTCACTTCGTTTGCCACTATCACATCATTCAGCTTTGAAGTGTCGTCGCCTTCATAACATCCTCACCTCGCATTCTTTCCTTGTCACATTTTCGATTCTTCACTAGAATTCACTTTACGATAGTCAGATCAACGATTTACGTCAAAATTCTACGAACAAGCCCCCACAAACTACACGAATAATAAACTTCTACCAAAAAACACAACAAACTTTCTACCCATGAGCTCCTCAAAATCCAGGTCGGATCTCACGCCCCCCAACGAATTAACCCGGACGTGTCCAAATACGAAATTCAATACCGTTAGTCTATACCAAGTCGGACTGACAGCACGTAGAATCAAGTCTTGCTGCCAAGCATGCCAGAGACGCGATGATGAACGGAGATGATTGAATTATCGCCATGATAAACCGCGTCATATTGGGGCGTGCCATAGAGTTTGGCTCGATTTGGAGAGCAAGTATGTCATAAAGTACCTAGTTCTTGGTGTTGGAAGCTGTTATGCTTGCTAGGGTTTGATACGACGATTTGCTTAACCATGTGTTTTGCTGTAATCTCTTCGACGAGGAACGGAATCATGAAGTTCGGCCTGTTCAGACTAGTCTTTACAGATTTCAGACAGTTGACTTACAGATTGCACACTTCGATGACGACACTTATTTGTGTGTGGTCTTTCTCCGCCGTTCTATTGCGTTGGAATGTTTCCTGGAATGGAAGAATGTGGTGGTGAAGGACTTGACCTGACAAAAATCTGCATCTTATAATCCCATCTTAGTTTCTCATAATCTAACCACTTTACACATTTTTGCATCCAACTAATTTCGCAATGCCCAAGATCCGTGAAAATTGTTGAGAAGTTAAGTTTTTTGTGAACTTCCTGCCCATCACAGAATTGAAAGGCGCGTTTTTCATTCCTGCCTACCCCTTTTTGCCTCTCCAACCTCCTATTTCTTACCCGATTTTGATTATGTATTCTCCGAATGCACAGAGAATACTCGTTATCGTATATTATCTCACACGCTCTTCAAAAGATAGTAGCTGTAGTCACCAAACTTGCAATCATACCTTCCCATTTTTCAAAGTCACCGCGATCCCCAAAAATATTGCTCGCACTTAAGCAACCTCGTCTCGAGAATATATTAGATATGGACAGCGCTACATCTATCACATATCCAAATCATAGTAATAACTCTATTTCCGGTCTTGTTTTCTGCGTAGCAGGAGCGGTGTTAGTATTCATATTAATCTTCGTCTGCTGTGGATACGGGTGTCTCAAGAAGAGGAAACTAGAGGCTCAGATCAGTAGAGAAGAAAAAGCGCAAGCTAGAGCACGCCGACTGGAGCAATTTGCCATGATCACGGTACCACCGAACGCTTGTTTGGCAAAATCTTGATGTAACTTTATGGGAAAGGAGGAAAGGGTTAGAATCAGAATTATGGAGCAAAAGGGGATTGTTTCATGGAAGATCAGAAAAGGAGAATTTTTCGGCTCCTCGCTAATGAGTTACCCATACCATACGACTTCACCGACTGTTGGAGTGAATATACGACATCAGGCTACACAAGTACAAGCGTTATACTGGATTGACTTCTAATACTGCAATCTCTCCACCTTCAAGATTTTAGTCGCATCCTGAAAGTGTAATGGTTCTCAAGTATCTACACCCTTACCAACATCATTGTACTTGAGTCATAACTCCCGAAAGCAAGTTGAGATCTGAAAGGCTTACATCAAGCTTGCAAAGCTCTTCCCACCATCGCAACCACACTCTACGAATCATCGGATATGCGGTCTTATAATATGCTCGATATATGGGAGGAAATTCTGGGCTATTTCGGTCCCGCTGATCACCAGCCCCGGAGTCAGCTAGTTCGTTGTGTTTTTGACAAAGTTTTATTGGTTGTAGGTTTGTCGCCGCTTGCTGTGGGTTTCATTGTCGGTTGTACCTTTTTCGCAATTACTGCTATCGCTGCGTTTCCTCTTTTCATAGCAGCTGTGGGTATGATGCTTGTCTCAGACTCTGTTGCTGTTTCTTTGGAGAATGTATATCGCACAATCAAGCGCTGGACCTCAAGAATGTGGTGCGGGATTTTGGGCAACCGCAAAGATTTAACAACAGACCAACTACCTACGACTAACACTCCACAAACAAAATTTTCTACAAAACAATCTCCAGTATCTAGTTTGGCTTCAAATATCTTCATCGACACTATGAACGATGAAAGAAAGTTCGCACTTCACAGTAATCCTGTGACAACAATGAAATACATTCTCTCTGATCCAGCTCCGGTATTTCCTTCTCCATGCGCTGAAATCAAAGGTCGCTCTAAAGAGAGGAATTCACAAGTTACGGCCCTTCCTCCTCCTCCATATAACTAAATAGTTACTCGGGCTTGAGTTTCTCGACGGCTTTGATTAATATACAGATTTTCTGAGCTGGATTTCAGAATAGGATAAATTTGACTGACATTATATGTTTCGCTGGGCGACCTTGATGTGTGCTGCGTTGATTTTTGGGATGGAGACGGATGGGAAAGAGAAAGTTTACGGACAAGGAATTGGTGTCTTGTGGGCTTCAATTGTGTAGGACCATGATTTTCGATACTAGGAAATTCGACAATCAAGATTCTGTATACGCCTTTTTTCCTCAAAACTTCAAAATCCGTGCAAGTGATGACTACTCGACTTTGATGATTCATTCATGAGTAATGTCTAAAATGTGAATCATAGTTTATGATTGTAATAACTATCCTTGAGTCACTCCACCCTGATGTATTTATTTGCTAGAGCCATGTCATACACAATATCTGTTTGAATCTCCAAGTTTGTTGGAGACTTTGAGTAAGTGAATCAATATTTTGTGTCTAGACGAACTTTCCATTCGGCTTATATCTTTTATGTCTACATTCTCTTCACAATCATTCCCCAGACTTCAAACCATATTACCACACGCCACCAAGCCTGTATCCAAAAAATCACAACGCTTTCGGCAAAATTCCCACGATTGTTACGTTCAGAGTTTCACTTCCACTTCCACCTCCACTCCTACTCACACCAAGCCATCAGCCTCCCAGCTTGAAAGATCCACCCTCTTTCTCCCATCAACAAATTCCTCACCCCCATACACACTCCCCTTCCACCCCACCATCACCCTCCCCAACCATGGATCCCGCCATCCCAATCATGGGCTACATCCTCCTCTCTATTTTCCTCCTCATCCTCCTCCTCATCATCAGTTTCTTCCTCATCTGCAAATATCAAATATATACCGAAACACAAAAAGCCCACGGACAATTATCTCCTCAAGCTCAGGGAATCAATGAGTTAGAATCGAGTACCAGGATTCTTCTTCGAAGAGGCGGGATCGGAAGGCGGGGGAAAAGATTGAGAGGTGTAGTACCTTTTAGGGCTGGGAGAGTAGGGTATTGCGAGGTTGAGGGAGAGGGGGTGGAGGGAGGGCAGAGAATGAATGATGATGATGGAAGGAATGAAATTGACGAAGTAGATGTGGTGGATGGAGAGATGGAGATGCTTGGGGCGCCGCCGCCTTATACTGGGCGGAGGGAGGTATGAAGGTTAGATTGTGGGATGGGGGCTTGAGATGGGGGTGGGGAAGATACGTATCGATGGGTGGTGTTATAGGAATCGAGGGTTTATGGCTATTAAATGCTGGGAGAAATTTTATGGGGAGATGATGGAGTCAACGATGGTCTGATACATAAACGGCATTGGTGGAAAAGGTGTCATAGCTATTCAGACAACAAAGATAGGATTTTATTTGGCACGAAAAATCTGTTGAATACCATTGATTCACATGATTCCTTTCAGTTGCTAAACAACATATCTATAAGAAAAGTAATAAGATTCCCTCTCTTCCATGTTCTTTCTTTCTCAAACCCAGGTATCAAATCATGAAACGATCTTCCAAATTCCTTTCCTAACCCCCTATCCTGTTTATATCCCTAGTCCCCATGTTTTCTGTAGAAAGATAATGACGATGATATGCAAATACATAGATATAAAATCCCTTTCATTCGTAATCCATAAAAATCCTGACTTTTCTTTTCTTCTTTCTTTCTCCCTTTTCCGAATACTAACTTACAAGATATGTTACGTTACCACAGAGTGATGTCAACACGGAGATCAAACAAGTCGATGAGTAAAACGATCTTAGAATCTTCCCCAAATAACTCCCTTTTCGCTCTCCCTCTTTTGTCCCGGACTCCTCATCGAATCCCTAACAATTTCCACTTTTTTACCCGGGGCCTGAGCTCCTTCCCTCAACGCCGGTATCGCCGCAACAGGCTGCGCCACCGGCGAAGGAGGCTCAATCACCACGCCCAAACCACTTCCTCTCTGTACCCAAGGCAATTTGCTTGAATCCAGATATTTTTCAAACTCCCACGTCCCCCCCGTTCCAACCCCATCGGTCGGAGTATCCACCCCCATCGTCGTATTCGTGAAGTGTGATTCCCGCCCACGACTATTGTTCGTCGTCACAGTATCATTTCCCGTCCCGGCATGACTATGACCACCGCTTCGTTCCCGATATGCTTCTGCTTCTTTGTCCATTCGATTCATACGTTCCATGCCACTATCTCTATTCATGCCCATATTCATGATACTTCCACTCCCACGGATTTCGCGATCGTTATCGATCCATGGTTTTGATTTTTCGGGATTAGATGTGATGAGAGCGGCATCGCTTGCAAAACTGAGTGCGCTTAAAGCAGGACTACTTGCACGGCTATCCATGTCCATCTCCTCTAGTTCCTCATCCATCTCATCCATTTCGGCCCAGCATAAAGCATCACTACCACCACTTAATTCATAAATCTCTTGAGCTTTCTCCTTTCTCTTCTTCTTACGCTCTTTACGATGTGTAGAAAGACTCGCGAGATGAAATGCGGGTTTTGGTTCGGTGGGGACCAAATTGAGGTTTTTGTTAAGGATAGTATCCGCTGCATTGCTATGGCTGGGGTTTTGGGAGATAGAAACACCGGAGTTGTTATATTGAGGGTTGAGTGTGAGATTGGGGCTCCCAATGGCTTTACCAATGTTTAGAGACAGCAATGAGCGATTGGATGGTGTTAAAAGGACGGAATTAGTGCCCTTGTCGAAGAAACTTAGCTCCGAAGGCGCATTAGAGACGTGTTTGGATTTTTTGTCTGCTTTGTCTTTGCTGGAGATGAAGGGGAGAGGTAAAGGAGAAGAAGGAGCAGAGCGAAATGACTCTTTTTTCGATAGACTTCGAGAAGTTGACGCGAAGGTAGAAACGGTGTTTGACCGTCCAGGAGTTTGTTTGCGTTGATGTGCGCGACGAAGAATGAAAATTGTTAGGCAGAGGGTTAAAGCTATTGAAGCAAGAATTGCGAGTACAATAGCTGCTACGATAGAAGTCGAGATCTTTGATTTTGAAGAGGAAGGTAATGGTGCGGGGTTATTGAGAGGAAATATTGTAGTTGGATTTGAGGGGGGATAGAATGTAGTCCAATTGCGTTGATGGATGGAGAATTGGGAACGTTCGTAGTCGGCAATCAGGTATGCCTCTTGGAGGAATGCTCGTCCAAGTGTGATCTGAGAATTATCGGCTGCTCGTTTGAGAGGGAAATAACGAGTACTGTTTTGTACAAGAGGATATTCTGCCCACCAATCAAAAGCAGCGTATGGGAGTGTAATGTTTACCATGGCTTTGGACGTCGAATTTGTGAGAGTAAATACAACAGAGGCATTTCTGTTGACAAGTGTAGTGTGTTGAGCATCAGTCAGTAAATACAGTTCTGATTCTGAATCGTAGATGATACCAATAGCTTCTTCGAACTTTTGGCATATACTTGTTGGTAGATATAGGTATGGGACCGATGAGTCGATAAAGGCTGGAAAAGAGGAGGATGGCGATGATACGACTTGAGATATCCCACCCGGTGATTTTATCGTGATTGCATTGACAGCAATCGTTAAGTCATCGCTAGAAGTGGCAAAATCGACAGTAAGATTATTTGGTACGAAGAGAGATTCTTCATAACCACCTAAAGTAAGATTGCCTAAGACTCCTCCACCATTGGCTCCCCGCCATTACGATAGTAAGCACCTGCAGTGTAGCCATATGATAATGATGGGATATGGCCTTGAGACTTGAGATTGGACATATAACTTGGGACAGGTTCAGTTTTGCTCGAGAAATTTGTAGGTGCCGGATTAAGACCAAAAAGACCCAGCCAGAAGTCATGAGTGGCGATTGTTGCGAGCACTTGTGAGCTTAGGGGGGGGAATCCACTACCGGGGGATCCCAACACGATGGTATCGTTGCCATAGTCTCCATTGCCAGTAAGACCTAGACTGGACTCAACTTCCAAAGCAAATTCACCTCCGGGATTAATGGTGTTTGGTACCCTAAACTCTTGTTAATGCCATGATTATACAAAGTATCTTATGCAATCCACGTACCATGTGGTAGACGAGTTTGAATTAAAATTCAAACCTCTCGAGCTATAACATGTTCCTGGGTCTGATGAAGTACAACCATCTGGTGATACGACCCAAGGTTGGTTACTTGCTGTTGATATGAAGACCAGAACAGGTTGAGGAGGTGTTCCCACTGTAAGCCAGAAGCTTGACCAATTCCCGTCAATACCATTCCTAATGACATCGTTAACAAGTGATGTGCTTAGATAGACGTTTGAAGATCGACAAAAACTTACCAATTACCACTTGGAAGGACAGTGAGAGGAGGGACAAGGGTTGATGAAGTTGCTGAAGCCAAAGTCTGCTCAAGAAGGCCGAGGATAAGCAATAGGGCGAAGACCAGATACCTCCAAGAAGACATCGGCATTGGAAAATATCATTAAGGAGAGTTTCATAAGATTAATAATTGTTGAAAAGACAGAACATGCTGGCTATGATACAATAGCTGCTGGTAAGGAGAGACAAGAAAGAGAAAAGAGAAAGACGAAAACGGGTTCAAACGGCACGAAAGAGGTGTAACTTGAACACAAATTTCCGACAAGATCTGCATCAAGACGGGAAAGTCTAAAAGAAAAGTAGTGTACGTAGGAAAGGTCGAGAACTTGGAGGATTCAAAAAACGTGCTGTGCGTACCGGGCACCTATATGATACTACCATACTACCATTTCGTGTGTCAGATAATTTCAACTGCCAGGATCTGCGGATGGATAGGAGGAGGAAAAAACAGCTTCTATCAAAATTGCCTAGAGCTTAGAATGGTGCTACACACAAAGAGGGGCGAGATTGAGTAGTTAGCATAATTAATGAGAAGGATTCATCTTTGGCTTTGTCATGAACTATATGTGGCATATGACTAACCAATCTTCAATCACCATTATGTAGAAGCGGGAGATTCATAAGACAATAGGTCCACCAGTCTGTATAACCTTGGGGCCGAAATCCATCCTCGCTTGGCAGATGGATGACGAAAACAAAAGATACCGTACCAGTAATATCTCTATGAAGCTTTTGTGTAGCTCTGTGTAGCTTTGACAAGGGAGCTTCAAGGTAATTCCGAGGTCCTCACACTGTACTCTATTATAGGTCTATTAGGAATCCCGAGAATTATAGCAAAATGATTCCAGTTGAGTATTTGAAACATAAACCTGGGGTAAACGAGGCTCTCTTTCATAACACGGCCACCGAATTAATTGAATTTTGATCCATTAAATCTGGATTCAAAATCCTCAGTGAAGCTCTCAAATTTTCAATTGCAAAAATAATGCGATTCTGTACTGCGATTCAAAGTAGTATTTCCCACCCTGACCTTCCGCTTCTTTTTTGTCAAAAGAAAGCAAGGGGCTGATTCTTCAAATCCGCGACGATGTAACGATATCTTCGTGTCATTTGATTTCCACATAAAACCAAGGTCCCCTGTTTCCAAAGGATCGGATTAATCGAGGTTGAATCCTTACGAAAACGTGGAATAGGGATGATGATGAGTGAGAATGTCAGACGGTTAGTTTTTTTGGTGGTAATTGAAATTTGAAAAAGATGGAATGGTTTGTTAACATGTGGATTGTTACTTTGAAATGGAAAGGAGTTGTTGCATTCGGAAACGCGGTGGAAGCCGGTCGATTTGTCTCTTATAATACTTGACTGGTTTCTTAGTGACCATGGTTGCGAGCTTTACGATATTATAATAGATCGGAACGAGAGCTCTGGAATGAGAGAGAGAGAGATATATATATCATTAAGGTATTCATATCGTGTTGTGAAGTCTCAAGAAATACGTAGAAGGTATAGAAGGCTCGGGTAGATTGAGTAGATTACTAGACGGGTATGAAGAAAGCCTAAACTTAAGTAATCATAAGCTAGACATTTAGCGGCTAAAGACTTATCACAAGCGGCAGCACACTTCATTACGAGACAGACTACCCACCACCATCACCACCACCACCATCATCATCATTACCATCGTAAAGAGCCCCCAAAAAGGCCATTGTCCAATTTATTCGAGTCTCCTGTACGAATACTCGTTCATCCACGCACGATACAGGCAGCCGTATTTGTTTTTTGGTTCTATAAGCCATCTTTTATTGTAACCTCAGGTGATTCCCAGTTTTCTCACATATGTTTGGGCATTGTGATACGAGAAGGTACACCAGTACAGCAGATATCGTGCTGGAAAAAAGAACCTTCCTCACGTCACTTCCAGCAGTGTTTAGACTTCTGGAAATGATGGCTTTGTTATACATTTCCAGATTTGCCACCTAAGCCTTATATTACTGATCCTCTCACCGTACTGCTAATCTAATAAATTACATTGTCACACGACGGTACCTATTCAAGTGTATCTACCAGATCTCTAGAAATTCCGTCTTACTTCAAGGTTTCTGGTGAAATGGAGCGATGTCACCTCAGAATATCTCTGCTTCCAAAAATATCCTGAGAAGCAGAGCGAGAGAGAAAGAGAGAAGAATGCGCAGCCAACATACAGCATCGCACACACTCACACTCACACTCACATTCACATTCACGGTGCACCCACACCTCACTAATACTCCAGATTGGTCGAAAACGGTTTCTATCGTTATATGTAGGTGCCTCGGGTGCTTTGTTGTCTTCCCTTACGCAGTGTACCTTTTTCTGCAAGGGGCCACATCTATTACATTGAACCTTTGAAGTATCCACTAAGATTACTGTATTTTATTTCAACCGAGTCTTATTCATCCCATCACAAACTGGCACAGCCGCTTTCGTGACCTTCCTTGATCTTTCTTGATCCTTCAACCTACCGTTCCTTCCACTCATTTGTTTACGAAAAATCGAGGCTCTATATTTGGCCCACGCATGTTGCTTACGATGGATTTGAGTTGCCGAATGGAGCAAGTCACTCTATTTACGATGCAAGCCCATTAGTGTCAGGCACAGCATCGACTCTTGCGCACCAGCAAATAATTCAATGATGATCTCGTTGATCAGCCTTCCATTCCATCGCGAAGGGGAGAACCACCCTTGTAATTTTTAGGATGGGGATCTAACTTGTTACTTTCTCAACTACCAAGTGACTTAACTTACAAACCCAACTGTTTAATATATTTCCAAATTTCATCATGAAATTGTTTCGTGAAGCAGGCTTGTGGGTGAGAAATATCCTACCTGGGTACTCAGCCCCAGGGTTTCATTTCTTTCAAGAAGAATATAGGAGCCTCCCCCTCTTACAATTCTCTTCTTTTCCTCCCTCTCTCGTCGTTTGTCTCTTTTAATTCTATGTTCTCATAAGACTTTATCAATGGGTTGATGCCCGGCGTATTGTCCCGTTTTCACCATGAAAGTTTTGCCAGTTCTTCTTCTAGGCACCCTGTCTCTTCTAGATCCAGTAACCGCTTCTTCTAAACTAGACCAAGGTAAGATTAGTCAATATTGATTTGTGGGATTGGTTCATCTTGTGGCGTTAAGTGTTACATCTGCTGATTCGTTCTTTCCTCCTAGATGGTGTAGTTCGAAGGTATACTAATGAAACCTCATCGTCGCATATAACTTCTTCTACCATATTATCAAAAGGGTCTCCGACCACCACACTCATTTCATCTAGCACATTGCAGATCTCTTGTACGGCAACAGTCACTTCAACAAGTGGCCAGCCCTTAATAGCTGCAAGAGAAGCTTGTCCTACCACTGTCACTATCGTTCATACACCCACGTCACTTCCACATACTAATAAAGCTGTCGTTGAGGCAAGTACTTCTGAAAAGGCTACCGTTGCAACCTCAGCCGAGTCATCCATATTGAAAGAATCGGTACACACTACCATCTCCAACACAGATCTTAAGTCGAGCCCTACTGGTTCCCACTCAGCCTCTTTATCACTCCAGTCTTCGAAAACTTCCGTTGAAGCTTCCGATAAATTTTCAAATACTGCTATCGCTTCTAGTACTAGCACCTCAAAGTCAACTGAGCCAATAAGTTTAGTGACATCAAAAACACTCAGTAATCCAACCCAGCCCTCAAGTGTCTCTACCGCATCTACTGCTTCGCACTCAAGTGTAGTTGGTGAATCTTCATTATCAAAGACATCTGAGTTGTCTTCGAAACCGCTTTCTTCGACGACTTTATCTGGTGGCACGACAACAACGCAAGCTTTCACACTGACAGTACCGTCAGCTGAATCGACAAAACTCCTTGCATCTTCAAACACAATCAGCTCATCTGCCTCGTCAGCGCATACTGATATATCAAAGTCTGAGCCTTCATTTATCTCTAATACATCCAAGTCTACCGATTCTTTATCCTCAAATCTCATTTCTACCACCAAGAGCGAGTCTATCGCATCCAGGACTTCCAATTCTGCTTCATCTACGACTGTCTTCTCGACATCTTCTGGAACAATAGTCCCCCAGCCAACTGTTTCAGCTTCTACTGTTCCAAATTCAAAATCTAGTTCTGATGCCAATTTGGTATCTTCAAGTGGATCACCAAGGACATTGACGTCAAAAACATCCGAATCTTCTGTTCAGTCAACACATGAGTCCAAGTCTGAAGCTAGCTTGACCCAATCTTCAATAACTACATCTACCTCTCTTTCAAGAGCATCTGAGACTTCTATTCAATCGACACGTGAGTCGGAATCGGAGATTGGCTTGGAGTCTTCAAAGGTATCGTCAAACATTTTGACGTCCAAGACACCTAAGCCTTCCTCTGTTCAAACAACACGCGAAGTCAAATCGGAATCCAGTTTAACATCTGCGCAAGTTTCTACGACTGCTGTCTTGACCTCCAAAACATCAGGGTCGTCTATTCAAACAATACGTGAGAGCAAGTCAGAGTCAAACCTATCCCTCTCGGCAAATTCATCGGTTTTCTCAACTTCTACAAATTCAAAGACGTCTTCTGCTCAAACAACACAAGAAAGCAAATCAGAACTAAGCAAATCTGGTTCATCGGCTTCATCAGTTCTAGGCCTCTCAACCTCGAAAGCGTCTGGGGTACCGACTCAAACTCAAAATCAATCGACTGAAGAATCAAAATCCAGTTTTTCTACTACTGTAGCTCAATCAAGTGTAGTAACGTCAAAGACTCAAACTCAGACTACTCAAACTACTCAAGAGTCATCTTCGGGAAAGCAGTCGAGTACTCACAGCCCAGTTCCCGACGCTACCACATCTCACAGCTCGAGTGTGCAAGGGCAAACTTCTTCTGTAATCAAGCAATCAGATACTACATCTCATAGCTCGGGTGTGCAAGGAAAAAGTAGTACATCGGAATCAAAGGTCACGAGCAAAACTGCCGAGACTTCTACTAAGGGCAAACCGGAAACTCCTTCTCAAAGTACAAAGCTTGCAAGTACTTCTGAAAAATTAAGCACTTCTACACGAGTACTTGAAACTGCTACAACAAGTATCAAATCATCAGTCAGTGAAACTCCAAAGCATAGCAGTTCAGTAGAGGGAGTATCTACATCGATTAAGATCTCAGAGGTCCATTCAAGTAGCACTACCTCCTCCAATCGATCAGAAAAGACCGAGACTACAAAAACTGAAGGGGCCTCTCATATATCCTCTTCATTACCCAGTAAGTCTACAGGTGAAAGTTCTTCTACTACCAGTGAGAAGCAATCGACGACTTCTCATACAACAAAGCTTTCAAGCTCAGAGGTCATTTCTAAAACGGAGACGGCAAAAGAAGTAACAGAGCCTACTACATTACCTACAAGTAAGGTTCAGACTTCGAGTCAAAGTACTACATCAGAATCATCAAAGTCACACTCCTCAAACACATCTACATCGACACAAAGGGAATCAAGCACAAAAGCCACTTCCACTCCAACTTCTTTTTCTCGGCCTTCATCAACAGAAATGAATACGAGTGTTATCTCAGGTTGTACGGCAACCCTCTCGGTTGTCGGTCAAGTCTTACCAGTATGCCCACATACCATCACTCTTGATTCATTCTTTTCCACTTCGAAAACATCTGGTTCTGTTTCACCTACTAGTATTATAGTCTCGACGAGTGTTTCTGCTACTTCAAAAATGGCTGAAACTACTAGTAAGACATCTGATGGTAATCCAGCTACTTCCAACCCAGCTACTTCCAACCCAGCTACTTCCAATCCAGCTACTTCCAATCCAGCTGCTTCCAATCCAGCTACTTCCAATCCAGCTGCTTCCAATCCAGCTACTTCCAACCCAGCTACTTCCAACCCAGCTACTTCCAATTCAGTTAGCAAATCGCCAGATGCGCCTACTTTATTTTCTCAAACCAGTGTACAAACAACCAACCCAGTTAGCAAGTCTCCGGATACGTCTCTATCGATTTCTGCAACCAGTAATCCAACAAATCCTGTATCTGTCCCAGGGAGTAAGCCGGCTGATACTACAACTAATATCCCACCGCCAGGATCTACGGTTCCTGGATCCATTGCAGTTTCTACTACTTCTAATCCAGCTACGAGCAGATCACCTGATGCTCCTACTTCTAATCCAGCAACCACTAAACTGCCCGATGCTCCTACCTCGGTCTTAGCAAGTAGCGCACCGGTTGTACCAGCTACAACGAAGCCATCTGAATCTCCTGCTACTAGTGCAGGAACTACTAAATCACCCGATGCGGCCACTTCAAATCCAATAACTACAAAGTTACCTGACTCACCTATTTCACCTACGACTAGTCCTGTGACTTCAAACACTAGTAATGGCGGAGGAGATGTTTCAAATATTGCCCCAACAACATCGCCAACTACTAAAGCTCAGACTGAAACTGCCAAGGCGATCTCAACTCCACAACCAACTTCAAATCCCGTATCTGTACCCGAAACAAAACCAACTGATACTGCGACCAATGTGACACCGACAGGATCAACAGTCTCTCCATCAATTGCATCACCGCCAGTATCTAATCCAGCTGGAACAACGAGTAATGTACCGCTGCCAGGGACAACGAGTAACGTATCACCACCGGTAACAACAAATCCAGTATCTACTCCTGGAACTAAGCCAGCTGATAATACTACAAACGCATCACCACTAGGATCTACAGTTCCTGGATCGACGGCAACTCCACCTGTGTCTACAAACCCTGTATCTGTTCCTGGAACAAAGCCATCAGATACAGCTCCAATAAGCAATCCAATTAACACTGCAACTGGAAGTCTTGCATCTCCACCTTCATCTGCTGAAAATACTGGAACTACTACTCCTGCTATCGGAATTCCAGTTGGACTACCGAGTGACAAAAGTACAGCTCTCCCAACCACTGGAACGAGTGATATAATCGGTACCCAACCCGTAGCTAGTAATCTTGGCATCCAAACGGGCGGCACAGGAAAATCACCCTTACCATCTGACACCGCTTCCATCATTTCCAGCATTCAAGTACCACCCACCGGCGTAAAGACAAATCCCGATGTAACCACTGCAATTTCCAGCCCAACTATAATTCCCACAACCATCAAGCCTTCACCAGGCCAAACCACTATCGCTCCCGTTGTATTCAATTCCCTAACTCTCAGCCAAGGAAGTTCCAACTTCGTAGTCGGTTCACAAACCATAAAACCCGGTTCCGAAGCCACTGTAAGTGGCGAACGTATCTCCATCGCTCCATCCGGCTCCGCAATCATCATAAATGGCGTAACCACAAGCACTACGCCTACACCTACTCCATCCAATGGAGCCAAGGCCGTCTTGTCAACCACCACTGAGCCCCTTCCTGGTGTCGTTGTCGTCGGAACATCTAGTGTAACAGCCGATTTCACTAAATCTGGTTTTGTCATCGGAAGCGCCACTTTGACTCCCGGAGGTGCGATTACGCAGGGAAGTACTATTATCACTCTCCCTCCTAGTAGTACTACTTCTCTCCCTTCAAATGTCGTAGTAATCGGATCTTCGACCTATACCAAAAATTCCGCTTCTGGAGTTGTAATCGGTAGTCAGACTCTGAAACCAGGTTCCGTTATCACGGTCGATGGATCTACGGTTTCTTTATCACCAACTGGAAATGCGGTGGTGGTCAATGCAAACAGTGGGTTTGTAACAAGTACTGCTTCTTTGCAAAGTGTAGTTCCATTGAACAGTTTAGTCATTGGGGGACAAACGCTTACGGCTGGAGGAACGGTGACGGAGGGTGGTGATATATTGAGTTTGGCGGCGGGAGGAACGGGGATTGTAGTCGTAGGGACTATGACTGTGGGTGCTGGAGGTGCAACAGAAACGGCGAAGAAGAAGAGTGCGGGTGTGAGGATGAGTCTTGGTGGGTGGGGATTACTGTACTTACAGGTCTCTTTTGTGCTTTTGGGGTTGTTGATGTGAGTGGGCTTGTGAAGGGGTGGATTTTTGAGATATTCTAGTCTATGCAGGTTGGAGGTTTGGGGAAAGGAAAAGAGGTGTTTATTTTTATATTTTTATATTGAAGAGGAGGGTTTGTAGCTACAAAACAGGATAATGAGATCATACTAGCGAGCGAAAAGTTCTGGATAGTTTGGAGGACGTGTGTGTGGTTTTTCTTTTTTTTTCCTCTACTTTCTTTGCTTTCTTTTGTTTTTGTATTATTACCATTATATACCTAGGTATCCAAAGTCTTTGTATCTACGATCGATGTCTGTTTATGGAAATGAGCAATTGGGGGGTCATGGATGGGATGAGTGGATTGGATTGAATTGTAGGGGGACGCTGTGGATTAGATGGCAGTATAGTCATGTAGGGGTAAATACATTATATAATGATATAATGACACCAGATTCATCATGCATATGCTCAAAGATACAAACTATACCAATTCAACAATTCCAAACTCTCTTATCCAGTGATTCTCCTACTCGTAACGATCATCATCATCAAAAACACATATGTGTAAGATTACACATGCAACTCTACCCAAAACAGTAAAGCAATAAATTCGCCGTCGTATACCCACAGTAAAAGATATAAAACAGCATGAAAAACAAGCACATAGTTCTATGTACTAACATACCGACGCTCAACTCGATATTCCACCCCCCTGAGATAAGTCATTGGCAGAGCAGAGAGGATGTTAATGAAGATGTACGTGAATTATTGACTCTTGAAGAATTAACGAAACCGATAGTGAATTATTATTCATACCTGGAACTTTTACATAAATCATCTATGTATACGACTAATTAAAGTATCGTCTCGGATGATTGATCAATAAAATATTCCCAAGTAATGTAATTACATTTGTCTCTGATCAGCTATGTATAGGTACTGGACTTATTATATAACGTTGTATCGATGGATTTTTATGAAGGATCGTTATCCCTTCCAATATTCTATCTCGTTTATTCCTTCACACTCTAAATCTTACTCTGCAAATAGAATCCACGGGATGAGACGAGATGAAACCGAACCCAAGTCGAAAGAAAGTAAAGTTCGCAATAGGAGTAAATGAATCTATTCCTTCTTTGCTCTCTTGCTTGCTAACCCCTCGGTCATACATTGAGCCACATCTTCTACCGTCTTTCCTCTTTTTCTCTTTTCGGTCTTTTCCTCTCCGAGGACAGTTTCATCCGCGACAGTTCGGTAAACGTCGGCAATCTCTCCAAAGACACCCTTTCCGTCCTCTCCTTTTCCATCGGTGGATTCTCTGCCTGAGAATCCCGTTTCCCCGTGACATATTCCAATTTCCTCCATTTCTCTTACCCATCTATAGGCTTTTGGTGGCATACCTGTGATCCCGCCATTTACCGATTTCCATAATCCAGGTACCCTTTCGCTCATCTCTTTCTCCAATTCTCCCAAGACGCCCAATCTTTGAGCCGATGTAAATGCTTGAATGCATAGGGCTGTAAATCCTTTCGTCGTACTAGCAAAACAACATTTAAGGCCTGATGCCTTGCCGATTTCTTCGCCTAGATAATTGGTATTCAAGAGATCTGCTAGATGTGCACCGGATACAGGAGCTTTAGACAATTCATGAGGTCCGGAAATGGGAATTGAAGGACGGCTCCAAGCGTGCTCTAGGTCTGGATCAATAGATGCCGTCGTATTAGGAGTACTAGTATCGTTTTTAAGTTTAGGTGCACCGCCAATAATTCCGCCATCGATGAATTTGATGGATGGTGATGTGGTACTAATATGAGAAGCGACTGAGCGAGCAGTAGCAGGAGCTATGGCGTTTAGGTCGAGATAATAGAGAGGAGAGGATTTTGGTGGAGAGAGTGAGTTAAAGGCGGTGGTAATCCGAGTTGCCAGTGATAGTGCATCACGGGGTGGGACAATCGAGAGAATGTAGTCCGACTGTGAAATTAGGGATGTATCTGTAGGTAGGAGTTCGATTTTGGATTTTTGAGCGCGTTCATGGGTATCTTGGCTGGTTGAGACAAGGTGAGTTTAATGTAGAATAACGATAAAGTAATGGAGATTTTCTTGAGTTTGTATATGCAATCATCAACTTTGATGTTTGAAGAGGTAAATTGGCCCCTCATCTCACTACTTTTGAAACGGAGGATACAACGGTCCATTCGTCATGAACCTCCTCCCAAATCTATGCCAAGCATAATAGTTGATTGCACTTGAGATGTTCATATCTCAAGCTGAATCAGTCGATTCCCTCGAAATCAGAGCCACTTGAATGATGAGTTTCCTTGGGTACTATAACCACTTTGAACAGTTACTAGATAACATGAGTCATAGAAGATAGTACAACCAACCTTCGACCCTCGATATTCGTCACAACACGATAGTTATGGGCAATGAGCAACTTTGCAACGCCCATACCCATTTCTCCAATTGAGATAATACCGACAGTAGCAAGTGGTGACATTTTGAGGAGCTTGATTCAAGGAGAACAGGGACGAAGTCTGTGAGATCTGTGAAATCTGTTATCTACGTAGATTGTGTGAATTGCAAGTTTGCGATTTCGGAGAAGGAAAGAACAGCGGCTAGTTGCAGTGCTGCAATGCAATGCATGTGAATGATCACATGATCCAAGTGCACAGACCATTTGTCGAGTCGTCGCGACTCACAAAAGTTGACGTACTGGAGAATCCTTGAATGTATTGTACGTTGTACATGAGAGTTATTTACCTCAGACAAGCCAATATATCAAAGAAACCGCCCTTTTGCAGTTTATATTCGTCCCCAAAACTTGACAATGGATCAAAGCCTTGATGAAATTAGTGGTGATCGCCAGGTAAGCCCTGTCAAAACCCGACGCCTCGAACATGTTGTCTCAGCCTTGCAACACGACATAGTACTGATATCTTCAAGCAGCAGAGAAATGGTGGAAATCGAGGTCGACAAGGCCGCAGAAACAATCGCAATGACTACCCTCGTGACGGTGTAAGAAAGGTAAGAATCTCTCCCTGAACTCTTCGACAATCCTCGAGTCTCGAGTCCCGAGTCCATTCGCTAACATTTCACCGCTTCAGGTGCATACACCTCCTCAATCATCAGATACTTAATTCCTCCCCGAATGTTCTCAGATCGCATCGCTGCTTCAATCAGTGCATGACGCCTCGACGGTTCATGATAGTACGTAATAGAATATATAGCTAACCCACGCCTCCTCTCCTTTGGCAGCCATATCAAGGAGATGATTCTAGAAACATAGACTCGTAAGTCTCAAACTTCTTGAACGGATTGAGAATGAACTGACAGTATTAGCGAATGGGTTCATGACAAATACGATGATCGAAGTACGCATCACTTCCAGATCTTCCGTTCTTTCTCGACCACCTAGCTCACAAATATTTCAGACGCCCGTTCTTCGAATCGCCCGGAAAGACGCAACTACGAAGAAGACAGACCAGTGTATGCAATATAATCTCTTTCAATCAGCGCTGCATGCTAACACCAAATAGAAACAGTGGAAAGGTTAGGGTCGAGAATGTACACTACGATTTGACAGAAGAAGAATTGGAGGTATGAGATACGAGAAGGGACGTTAAGGTTTTCATTGCTAAGAATGGTATTAGGGTCTTTTCGAGCGCATTGGTCGTGTTTCGTTCTTGAAGCTCGACTATGACCGAGCTGGACGTTCGAATGGAGTCGCTCATGTAACTTATGAGGATCCAAGAGATGCGCAGAGAGCCATTGAGGAGTTTGACGGGGCAAATGCCAATGGTAAAAGCTATATTTATCCTAAATATAACCATTTTAACACTTTCTAGGTCAACCAATTCGTTTGAGGTCCGTTCCAGACGGTCCATCCAGAGGCCGTGGAGGTAGAAATCAATACGAACCATCGAGATCAGGTCGTTCCCTGGCCGATCGCATGACTCTCCCTCGCTCTCGTTCTCTATCTCCTCCAATCAGGCATTCTGATGTCAGTAAACCACCACCTGAGAATGTCGATCGATATGTTCCGGGCGACCGAGGAGACCGACCAGACAGGAGGAGACGCTCGCGCAGTCCCTTGCCACGCCGAGGACGAGATGGTCGGAGACCTGGTGCAAGGAGAGAAAGAGGAGATCGAAATGCCGGCCGTGGAGGAGAAAGGCCTGCAAGGGAGAGCAGACCAAAGAAAACACAAGAAGAACTCGATGCTGAAATGGACGATTATTTTGGAAATGGATCCAAACAGGAAGAGAATGTCAATGACACTGCAAATGAAGCTCCAGCTGTAGCTACAGAGCATAATCAAACTGGGGATGATATTGAAATGGTTGAGTAGATTTTTGTTGTGAACATAAGAGCAGGGAGGGAATTCAATTCTAGCTATGAATCGCTCATGGAATAGATTGTTCAGCAAGCATATTGGAATTGCTTTACAGTATGAAAGCAATCAGCGCACACATATTTAGTACTACACATGATCGAATGTATCTCTCATTTTCTTCGCACCTTTAACTTAAGTGAAAATGGTTTCTTAATTGCTCATTTCTTTTTCCAAGTATTCTCGGCACTACACGACTTTCCGCCTTCGTTTAGAATATTTCGCCTCCTTATTGAGGCGAGTACTCTCACAATCATACCTACAACACTCAAATCATCTTTGCCCATTCTTCCCATTCATGATTCACTCATTGAGTATTTCTCCAATTCGCCGATCGCATATGTCTCCATACCACATTATAATCAATCAAATTCACTACATGCTCACTCTTCGTAGTACGCATCGGTAATTGCGAACTCAATTACCCTTTCATTCACTTTCCTCGTATAAGTCCATTCCTCGATCACAATTTGTAGGATTATATTTTTCTTGTTCGCTACATTCGCACGTCATGGGCTCGCTCGCCTATTGACAATCATCATCCCTAATGTGACAGATACTAGAAGCGGTATAATCATTTGATTCTGGATGTACTTGTATTGGATGTGAATGCTTGATGGTAGATGGTAGATGGTAGATGGTATAGGGAGGTTTGGGGGTGGATGGTATAGGTATAGGGATAGGTAATCAGAGTGAATGAGAAGAAAATGGAGATGGAGAGCGAGACGGGAATAGAGAAAAAAGTTCGAGGATAGAAGGTTCAATATATGTGAGCTCATGAAGGCTGTCATATACATCTTGAGTTGTATGTACATCAATATATTCTCCTAATTTAAATTCTAATTTTTTTATTTATTTACATTGAGACGTAGTTTGACTTGTTAACAGTCTAGCATTTCCTTGGAGCTCTGTGGAGATAATAGGTATGCGTGTTGCACTTTTTAATTGTATTGTACAGGATTTGAGTTTTGATTTTTGTGTACCTAACTATACATGTGTTGTGTATGATACACGGTACGCGATGTCGAATAACGAGTATGTCCTCATATGATCTTTATGACTTCCTCAACTTATCCATAATCCCCCTTTCTCACATCCCCGAGGTTCTTGGACTTGCAGGTAATGATTTCCCCGCGCACGAACCGAAATTCTCTCGCCATCCCTCAAGCCTTCGGTCCCTCACTCTCCTCCACATACTGAAATCTAAACTTCTTCTCTGTAGGAAAGACTTTAACCTTCCTCACCTCAACCTCTTTCCTTTCCTTCTCCCCCACAAATTTCGGCCACCTAGTATGCCCGACTCTCTTTTTCCTAATCACGTTGCGTTCCTCCACTTCAGGAAAAATCTTCTCAAAAACTTCATCCATACCATTTTCCTTCGACAGGAGTCTAGCTTGCAGAATCATATTTTTCATTTCCTTTTCCGCCTCCCAAACAAGCATGCGCGCATAAGTAACCCCCCCTCTCTTCTTCGCCGCTTCGATTCTCGGATTAATATTACATTTTTCCAGTAGTTCTTTTTGTTCTTCTTTCGTAGGAACGCGGCCCGTCGTAACGATAAATCTTGATGTCATTTCAAATAACGATTCGCTGTTTTTGGCATCGGAGCTGAATCTTCCAAAGAGAGAATTCATTCTCTTTTTGTATTCTTCAGTCTGCTTGGGTGACGTGCCTGGTTGATCACGGTAGATATATGAATACGGCATGTCGATTTTCGTATTGATGAGTTCATGTGATTTTGCATTTATTCGTTTTTGGTGGGAAGAATGGAGGTAGATTCCTGACTCGGACACTGCGCCAAATTCGCCTTTGCGGAAGGTCAGGAAAGGTAAGGTCTCGTGGGAAGAATTTGAGGAATTGTGGGTATCATAGCTGGGTAATTTGTCGATTGTGCTAGGAACCACTCCAAATGTAGTTCTGCTAGACCAACTCAGGTCTGTGGCATCGCGGAGGTTTAATTCGGTCTTTTCTGGTTCTTGTGTAAGAAGTCCCTTTCTTGCTACCTTGTCATCAACGATAGAGTCTGCGTCAATGGTTTCATTCGATTCTGGAATACCCAATGGAGTTTCGGGTTCCTTCAACTTGGAGGGATTGATGGTAAAGAACTGTATGTGATCACCTCGTCGAGCGAGATTACCTAGCGTCGAATCTTGTGCTTTCTCCATTGATTGATCAGTATATTCAAAGGATGCCGAAACGACATCTTCGTATGTCATTTGAGGATCCAAGGATAAGAGACCTTGTTTAGCGCCCCAACCACCACCGCCGCTCACTGAATATATTTAGTCGGCTGTATGCTAGATGAAAATATGACGAATAAAATCAATGCAAGTTACTCACCAACGCGACAAAGAATGGCTCCAAGAGCTATTTGGGTACCAACAAATCTTAGATTCTTATCATCATTGCTCCAAGTTGACTCGAGATCTTCTGCCGATCCAAGCGTTGAAGCCTTGAGATTGGGGTCCAGAAGTTCCTTTCGATATATCAACGCCCACACTCCAATGTTGGTACGCAAATTACTATATTCCATAAATCTTGTGACCTGGGTTTCCAACTCAGATGAAGCCGGTCTGTTATCTGTATCCCCTGATCCGAAAGATAGTTGTCGAACAATATTGCCTAACCCATTTGCGATGGGTCGAGGTAAAGTGAGAGGAACTGCTGGTATAAATATTGGTGGAATCATGGTATTTTCATAATGAAAAGCTTTGATATGCTGATATTGTTTCTGCTCTCTTTGTATGCATTTGTATTCACCCTCATTTCTTCGAGTCCATTTAGCTATTTCAAGAGTTGAATGTTTGCCGTTCACAAATAAAGTATTTGCCAAAGGTAAACTTATCGTAGTAGTCAATGCCAATTCCCACGGCTTCTGCGATTTGTTCCCAGAGATAATGAGATGTGACAATTTGTCAGGATTCGTTGCACCATCTTTGAATGATTCAGGGTTCCACACATTATCGGGCCTCAATACTCGACTGCGTAGGCCATGTAAGAATGAAAACCCCTCAAGTGGACCAGCACGCTCCGCAATGGGAATATCACCAGGTGAAGGTGCAAGGCCGTCAACTACAGCACCAACAACAACAACGTAATTCGGCTTGCCATCCACGTGATGATATGTAAAACACTCCAAGACACGTTTGATGAAATTATCATCTTCAAGCCAATTCGTAAACGCTGGGGTTACTAGAATAACGACTGCTTCCTCGGGTGGATTAAGAGAGGGGTCTGCAAGATATCGAGCTTTTGTCATGCGGGCACGATTAGAGATGAGTTGAAGAACTTGTTCTTTGGTCTATATGATATGAGTGATGGTGGCATTATAAGAGTACCAATGTAGCTTACAGTGCGCTTGGGATCCGGAGAGATGATGCTAAATTGGCGAGGACTCAGTGAAGAAGGTTTCCGGTCGAGAACCATATTAGGGGCAATTGGACTAGAGCTATCATCGTTGGCTCTCTTAGTACGGATTTGTCTCATACGAGTTCGCCCCCCACCTGTGAGGGACGCCTTCTCTGAGCTCTTTTGTAGGTCCGATTTAACATCATCAACCAGGTCCTCGACAACCGTCTCTCCGGAAACAGAGGGATGATATTTGGCGGATGCAAAGATAGACCTTACGAGTGTCTGTCGAGTTGACCCAACTCGAGATATTTTGAAATCGCCTTCGTTGTCTTCTTTCATGACGTCGCCAACTTTGGCAGTGAGAGAGAATGCGCGCTTGGCAATTCCTTGTCGGCGTGGGCAACGAACCGCATTATGAATAACTTTACTCGAGATCATTACTCGTCGACACGAGAGATTGAGCATCTGATATCCCATGTCGGGAGAGTCATGAAGTTTCTCTGTTTTCTGCTAATCGGGCAAGCAAATGCAAGGAAGTGCAAATCATCGAATCATGCTTAGTCATTTATTTCACGTGATCATCAATATCCAACCTGGTGCTTGAGGTTCACGACGATTTAGATTTAGGACGTCAAGTAAAACATAAGGGTGCAATGAACTGCATCTCAATCGACCGTGGTTTTCAAGCCAACATGTTTCTGTTATCATCTTATTCAATAACCTCACCTAGGTTTTATATTTGCTTATTGTAATTCCAAGACCAAGAGAGGTGATTTGTTGAACCGAAATTGGATCTTCATGATAGTCCTTCGCTGATTTGAACAACGGCGAAATATCTCATTATACTGAATAAAAATTTAATGTAGATGAGGTAACTTTGATTTTATCCTTGCACTTCTTCATTAACAGATGACTGATATCATCAAAAGCAAAATGGGCGTAATTAACCCAAACAGAACAACGCTTCGGTTACCTGCTTGCTTCGATTCCTCCAGATTTTCGTTCAGACCGCTATCTCTAATCCATTCGATGGCGTAAGTATGGCTTCAAAAGAGGCTGTTCATACTGCAGCTTGTGCAGCTGTTCAAGAAACGACGCAGAAAGAGGCTCGACCGCAAGAATCGAGGGTGACCAATTAGAGATCTGATTGCCGATTTTTGCTGGGGGATCTAAAACGTACTTGACCATAACAAGGATAGTTTGTGAGATGGAGGTGCAGAAAGGCTACACTAATTCCGATTCCAGATTGATGCATGCATGGCGAACAAGAGATGGAGAAATGGTAGGGTAGTTCGGGTAGGGGGTGAGAAGGATGGTGATCAATGATTGATGATAACTGGTCAGTACTTCAAAATTGGCTGTTGGTACAGCAATAATCAAATTTGAATCCCTCCTCGATTTCCCAATTGAGTACAAACAGGTGGGATAATTTGGTGACTATCCTTTACCTAGATTGAGGAGAGAGGGGTTAAAAGACGGATAGGTTTCCAGCTAGTAGTTAGGGAGGACACGGCAGAGTGAACCGACGGCCAGGAATAAATAATCAAATCATATCAATAACCGAGATCCAACGATCTCTATGGTGTGTACTTTTGTTTGGTTGTGGTAAATTAAGTATAATATAATACGCAGGTCCTTGATGAGCTGGAGATTATCGCGAATTTAAGGTTGGTTTGAGGGAGAGGAGATATTCGTATGCAAAGTGGTGAGAGATGCGAGAATTGGTGTCATTTGTCTCATTCAAAAACTTCCAAAAGGAAGAATTAATATGACATTGAGTGAAAAACTTGGGAATCCATGCTTGTCTTCTCCATACCATATCTGATGTGTTCTTTCGCCTTACGCGGCTGAAGGATTAAGCCTGTCCATCCTCAAGATTTCACACACTCTTTAGCGAAAAGATTTTTGCAGGTCCGAATTTCAAATGGGATTGAGTTCCTTGAAAGACCCTTAAAAGTTAAAACTCTAATTAGTGCATAGAATTCGGGTAAAGTCACTGGATCTAGGTAGACAGTTTGTACGGCATATTAGCTTTTAATCAAATGACTCGGGACTGTCAATTTGTCAAATAATGGTCAATCAGAATAATGAGTAAGATGGCGTGGGTGAGACTTGGAGTACCTAGGTAGGTAAGTGATAGAATCAATGGATGAGTAAAGAAACTGTGCACGAAGAACTAACTGAAGATGCTAGACTGGATGCGAGTGCTAATGTGAATCAAAATGTCTAATGCGTTCGCTTTATCCGATTCCTTCTTTTCTTGCACAAGACTCGCGAGTGATAATGAGACAACTGTGCAGAAGATACCTAGGTGGATGTCCACTTTTCACAACACTGCAGTAGTCCAAAGATAAGCAGAACAACCGGGAGGAAGTTAAAATTCGATCCAATGATAGCCGAGCGAGAAGGACTCTTATGCACATTGAAATGCACATCTTACGCACATCTTACGCATCCATCTTTTTCAAGCAACTGCATAGAATTATTCCTGTCTTCAGCATAGAACGATATCTGCACAATGCAAGTAAGGAAAACTTCCCTCCAAAGCAGTTTAAGCTGTGTGTTGATCTGTTTGGCAGCGCCATCCTCGGCCACCCCGGAAAAAGGTAGAGAAGCTGGAGAGGGTAAGAGAGACAGAATTGGAGTTTAATACTACCGGTACTGTATGTGGACTTGCAGTGATACGTTTTGGGAACACTTTACTTGAGGGCATTGAAGGTAGCAGAGGTAGGAATTGCAAGCACTCGATTAATGTACACACGTACTCATTACCTAGGTCCTAGGTTGAGTTGTCGAAGATTCCAATTCCCAAACACAAAACTGTAGCAAATCTCAGCGTCATCATACCTGGTATGTATGGTATCGCAGTTCCTAAGATTTGATAATAATACTATATTGTCGGAGGTTTATTACGGTATGGATAAGATGATACTGGGAAAGAAGAGTCAAATATTCAGAATTTTTAGTAAGGGTTACCATACCGAGCGTACCTGCTTCCCTCCAGATTGCCCAGGGTACAATGATTAAGTTTTATACAAAAGGTATTCAATGCTCGTGTTTACCCAGGAACGACCTGGATATCAGGAACGACCAGGAACTAGTCTATTTTTATCATCTTGAAGCTTCGCTAACTCTACCCACGGCTCATTAGACGGACATCTGAGCACTTTTCCAAGTCCAACCACCCCCGCAAAAGAAAGTAGGTACATCTTCATCTTATCTCTTTTGGAGTCCCATTCATCAGATGAAATCTCGATGGTCAGCTGCTACGGTGACGGTGACGGAGTAATAACTAAAGTTACATTCAATTGATCCATCCGCCAACAATGAGTTTCCCTTAGCTACCAGTCTAGATACCGACATTCGACGGTGACTGGAAGCTTTGTTTAATACCTCGTAGATTATGAAATGTACGGTGCAAATTAATACCATCTAGAGTACTAGGTATCTTCTTGCATAATCTCCCTTGCATCACTCATAAACTCATAAATTTGGTAATATTCTTGCAGACAGTTGTTGCCATATGGAATGTGATTTCGATGTTACCTGCATCCATAATGGTTTTTATTAGCTGTGTAAATGAGTACAAGATAGAGTGCTCACTGTACAACATGTAACCCATAATGAGGAAGTTAAAAAAGAAAGGACTTTGAAGTGATGATTTCTCCAGCACAACAGGGACAACAGGGCAACGAAGTCTCAGATATACTTCCGATGAAAGACTCTCACGACGTCTGGAGAAAGGTTACTACTGGTTGTCCCTGTGTACGGCATTCATTGTGCGTCGTGTACGGATTGTACGTAGGGTATTGCACACTTGTATGTGCCCTCGATTCGAGATACGAATGTATGAAATGGTTCCTGGGCAAAGCGGGCGGGAGAGATCCACGTTCTCTCCGCTTGTTTTTCTGATCTATCTCAATTCTGAATAGACTTGACCACAATTACGACCTAGGTCGGGTGGTACGGTCGAGTAGTGTATTGTTGAGGGAGGTTACCAAGGAAGTGAATATATATGAGAGGGCGATGGACGGTATCGTGATGAATGATGATGTAAACTTTCTTTGGATACCTACCTAGGGGTCAAATAAGAAATCTTGGAAGGGAAATGAGGATTTTGAAGAGGGCTCGCTCGCCGGGAGATGTTATACCTTCCTAGGTTTCTGGGTATTGAGGTATTTTATTACATGTTGATATCATGAGAAGAAGGATATTGGATGTTGGATATTGAATCACGAAATGAATGGATTGTGCCGTATTGTATTGTATGGACCGTACTGGACTGTACTGTACTGTACTGTACCTAGGTAAGCAATAGGTATAGAACAAAACCGACGATTAATGATATTCAATTCCCCAAATTAATAAGATTACCTACCTCTCTCTTTTTCTTCTTCTTTCTTCTGTAGAGTTTACCTACCTAGTACCTACCTAGTACCTTACCTAGCTGGAGGTACCTAGCACGCACTTCTCTCTCACCCTCTTATTATTACTCTCACTCTCTCTCCCTCTCTCTCCCTCTCATTTTCCCTCTCATTTTCCCTCTCACACTCCCTCGCTCTCTCAATTGGTTATCCATCTATATTATCCATGTATTTCTTCCATGCAAATACACAAGTAATTTATACACATTTTATTACATTGCCTCGCTCTCATAATCTCTTTTATACCAAAATTTAATAAAACCTCCAACTTCTTCCTAATTTCTCGGCTCCACTTTTCCAACACTCTAAGCTCTAGCGCCCTTTCTCACTAGCAACGCCAGCTTTGGGACGAATCTCAGAACTCACATACCACCTCTCCGTCCTTTTGTAGAAAGTCAATTTATTAGTCCTTCGACCTTTTTGGACACAACTCTCTCTCTCTTCGTCAACAACCCACCACCCTCTTCCCTCCAAAAAACCCTTCTTTCTTTTGGTAGTAGATTCAGTTGCATGTCCATATCAAAAGGGCTTTGCTTCTGATCTCTACCGTCCATTCCTTTAATACTAACTTACGTTTTATCACTCCTTTCTCATTTGCGAATTTACGAAATCACTTATTCATCCATTTGTCGATTTTCAAGAATCAATTTGTCCCGATATCTCCAGTCTCCTCATCTTGCCTGCCAAATGTATGTCGAGAATTTATTATCAGATACATCGTCTATCTACCATTGCGATCAACTTTCCATGACATCTTCTCGCATTTATTTCAATGAGTCGAAGGGAGGATATGCTAATTAATTGTCGCAGATTGGATCGTTGTCGTTGTGTCGCTCGTCTTCCCATTTAACGATTTGGATCGAATAATTCTTCCCTTCGAATCCCGTACATCTCAACTTATATTTTTGGAACTGCGAGCGGTTTCTTCTTCGACACCATTTTACTTTTCACTTTAACCATATGGTATTCTTCTAAGGGTTTGTTCGGTTGTTGGTTATCGATCCGATCTTAGGCAACATGGCTACCATATCAACAACTACACAAAGTGAGGTTAGCAGCCCTTCACAACTGCCTACCTTCGTTTTTCCCGCACGAGCTTCTCCATCATCTATTTCCGCAACATTCCCAAGAACCTCGGGTCGACGGCCAATGTCAATACCTACCGAATTGCCAAGTTTCTCCTTCAATCCTTCGACGACGACAACACCATCGCCCGCGAGCCCTGCACTTTCTCCACCAATCTCTCCATGTTTCGCCAATTTCGATCTATCAAATTCCCCTAGAGCGGCTGGACATCGCAGAGGTACCAGCGAATTCATAGGTGGAGATGGCAAGGTAGGCTCGAGTGCGGGATTGATGAGCACAAGTCCAACCCAAGGGGAAAATGCTTTACCGCCACCTAATCCGGGAAGACGTGGACATGCACATAGACGTTCCGCTGCTGTATCCGCACACGATATCAAAATGATTCTGAACCCTACCGCTCCAAACACACCGTCAATTCCACGAGGAGGATCCGCCCCAAATTCTCCATCTGGTCATGAGAGTCAACAAGGTGTAATTGGCCTCGCTAAATCTACCAGCAATGACGAAGTCTCTCCCATCAAACCCTTCAATCGTGCTCGTGTCGGTTTCTCGGACAATGTGGAATTCATTCCTCGGCCCGTGAGCGTGGTGTCTAGTGACACATCTAGCACAGTCACAATGCGACCATCTCACTCAGTATCGAATTCCCTGAGCTCTGTTGTGTCTGGAGGAACTGTTACTCCACCAGCTAATATCACTCCTCCGAATAAGGACCTTCTCGCCTTGCCATCGCCCAATATTCGAGGTGCAGATTCACGTCCCAGAACTGCCAACGCCATCTTAGACCCCATCAAGGATACAACTCAATCGACAGAGACTTGTCCATCTTCAAGACGACGTGGATCCATGCCTTTACTTGATGATATCCAGATTGTTGCCCCTCCAAGCCCTAGGAAGAAGTGGACATTCTTCGGACACGAGCCAGTATCTGGTAACTCTTCGCCAAGCCGATCACGTCCTGTTAGCTCGACGTCCATGGATAGACCGGAACCTAATGCGCCAGTGTGCTCGCCAGCAAGTCCCAGATTTGACCATCATGATATTTACTACATGCCATCCATCGAACCCTCAAGTTCACGTAGGTCTTCGATTTCAAGAAAATCTGGCAAAAAACAAAAGAAAGTCAAGTCATGGGCAGGATCGATATTGTCGAGGAAATCTCGCAGTCGCGGTCAGAAGAAAAAGGGAGGCCGCCGTTCTGCGACACCTCCTTTGCGTCCTTACACGGCAATGAGTGACTCCGCAGCAGTTGAGATTCAGCCATTACCTGTTCATGCTGAAGAATCCCCCGCTCCTGAGCAACAAGACTATGCATCGTGGAAACCAAGACAGACTTATCCATCTGATGACGATGCCATGAGTCCTATTATTGATCTAGATGCTGCTCTCGGTCCATTCAACACCCCTTCCTCCTACGGAGCCGAATGGGAATCGTCACAAAAGACAACATCCAAGAGACGAATGCATAGTGCAGCAGGCATGGGCGGATTCATAGGACCGGGCATGCATTATCATCGACGAGCTGAAAGTGCTCCTGAGATGGTTCCATTTGAAAATAGATTCGGCATACATCGTCTTGGTAGCAGCTCCACCATGGCTGATGTATTTGAAGAAGACGAGGAAGATGATGAATGGGAGGATACGAAGGCTTCTTCGGACAAAGATTCCATAGCCAGAACCGAGGATGATGATCAAAATGCACTCGGCATTGACATCAAGGTCGTTGACGCAGAAGCATCCAATAGCGACAAGAACATGGATTGGTCACTGGATGAAACACCAAGCGTAAAGCAAAAGGATAGTGCGTTCAGTGAAGGTGAAAGCAAGGACACCAGTGCAAGCCTGAAATCTGGCCACTCTAATATGTCTTTGAGGGATGAACCAACAATGGAAGAGGAATCTGTTAGCCCAATCGAAATTGCAGACGACTCTATTCCTCCCAGACCCGATTCAGGTGCACGATCCTCGGAGTCTACAGCGACTCCACCCTTTCGACCTCGACCCGTCAAAGATCTAGCACCTGTTGAGATTAATCCCTTTTCGCTACAGCCCGCGTATCTTACCCCAAACAGTCCCCACTCGACCACTCACTCCTCGTTTCCATCCCCCAGGTCACCATTTTCATATGATACACAACGCATATCCACGGCTCCATCGTCGATTGCAGATGAAAATGCTTTCCAATCCTTGCTCCTTGGTGAACCTGGACCAGAACTGAGAATGTCTGTTGATGATGTTCCATCGCTAACAAGTAGCAATTCTACCATGACAAGGGAGAGTGGCGCGAATCCAGGTTACGTATTTCGCGATGGTCAACGTTCGGTTTCTGTCTCTTCTGCTAGTGGTCCGACCCGCAAACGCTCTAGCATGGCCAGCTTGCAACGATTGATAAGCAGTTCCCATGGGGAGAGAAGCAAATTATCCATTGAATCTCGTGCTCCTAGCAATCCCGAATTGGAGAGAAAAGATAAAGGAAGCAAGAGCAAACGGATCAGTCGTATGATTCAATTCTGGAAGCCTAAGGAGACGAAAGAATCAACATGATTGTTGTTTGTGCTGTACCATATAATTTTTGTCCATCACTCAAACTTTCACTTCCACACAATTCTACACCTTGCGCGGCAGTATCGAATTCAACCTTATGACACGAACTCGGTACACATGACTGGAACGACAACTTGTTCTAATTGATATTCACATGATTGAACATGGACGGGCATAATGTGCATCTTTTCACATTTAAGGATCAATCGACCTTTGATTGGTATCCTACTTTTTTCGAGCTTCATTGGTTTATACCTTGGCAGAGCACTTTGCACTTTTGAGCGAGAATTCGGCGTTCTTCATATTTGAACAGGCGCGGTACAGAAGAACAACTTTACACTACTACACATGCATCTAAATTTCTTTCCAGAATTTGGAAAGACTCTTGCATTTAGGACAAGATGTGTGGGCGGCTAGTTTCGAAACGTTCTCTTATTTTAATGATAAAGCTGGGGTGTATGGGGTAGCATGAAGATGATTTAGTGTTTGCTTTGGATTTTGCTTCAATGACTTCTATTTCCCGGGTGTGCGGGAAGGAAGATCACATTTCATTTCGATCATGGAATTTTACAAATAGGAATTTAAAGGAAGGAGTGGTTATATCTGCTGGTGTGGGGCGTAAACATCTGTCTCCGATAGGAAATATATTCCTCATCTTCATCTTCACGAGAAAGATTGGAATGATGGGATTGAAGAAGGGTGGCATGTCTGTAGCCGGTAGACTGCGAGAGCACTCATACTAAAGTATGGTTGATGCGACTAACATAATGAATATACTGAAACTAGAAATATACATTCTTTTATGCAATATAAGGTCTTGATATGTGTGTTGTGACGTGATTTTGTGATAATTCTATAGGGGGGTATTTATGGTTGTTAATGATGGTATGTCTATGTATAACTCTTTGATGATATACCTGTCAACAAGAGCATCATATTTCTTAACCTTCAGTTGACAAAATTCTCGACTGTCTTCATCCTTTTGACTCCTATCTTCCTTTTCTTCTTTTTTTCCAAATGAATATGCATAGTTTTTCGAACTTACTCGTGAGCTAAAAGGGGGAGATAGTCTTGAGATAGTTTAGAATCCAGCCTTTCATTGCCTTGTGCACGAGCCTTTTTAGTCTCGACCTCGGCAACAAAAAAAACGACGTGCTTGCTTGCTTTCAAGGTTAAGCTTCCTCGAGTGGCTGGTAAAGAGAGCATCTTTGAAACCCCGACGATATCGATACTTTGACTATTACTGTAATTTTATCAAGGTCCTTGGACAAACTTCCTAAGGCCGTGCATGCATCTTGGTGTTTGTTTTTGAGGAATAATACCTAGGTGGCTTTATCTATCGACTTGAGATAGATTTACCTTGAGGTTCTATTATCGGATTTCTTTCCTGGGATTCCTGCGCCAATCTCAAGACTTAAGCTTCTTCGAGCTTCAAATCTCACAAATCACATCGTATCATATCATATCCTATCCTTCACATCCCACTCGCAAACATGTCGCGGTCACCCACCAAGCGAATCCTCACCGAACTCTCCGCCTACAACAGCTCCCCTCCCTCCCCCACCCAAACGGGCATCGTCTCTCTCGCTCCCTCCCCTTCCTCTATCCTCTCCCTCTCCGCCATCCTGCAATGTCCATCCTCTTCCCCCCCTTCCCTCGGCTACCTCGGCGGCCGCTGGCTCCTCTCCATCGCTCTCCCAACTAACTATCCCATCGGCGCCCCAATCATCAGATTCGTAACCAAAATCTGCCATCCGAATGTGAAATGGGAGACTGGGGAAATTTGCCTGGATGTCCTGGGAGAGAAGTGGACACCGGTGTTGGGGGTCGTGGGCGCGTTGGAGTCGATTGCGTCGTTGGTTGCCGGGGGAGGCGATGAGACGAGTCCGTTGAATGTGGATATTGCGAAGTTGAAGGGGATGGGGGATGTAGTGGGCGCGAGGGCGTTGGTGGGATGGTGGTGTGCGGAGGAGAGGTTTGAGGGGGGGTTGGAGTAGAGGGTGGAGGGAGGAGGGAATTGGTGTGCGACGTTGAATGCGCGTACTTGGTGATGGGTGGTTTACGGGGTCTCTCCAATATCTCCCGATACGAAATATCTTTCACGAAACAATGAGTTCTCAATCGATTTAGAACGTACTAGCATTACATTACATTACATCGCATTGTATTACATTGCATCAATCGCGGATTCTATCAAGCGCTACCTTATACACATATCAGAGACATACACGAGAGACTACGAGAATGGATGAATACTTCGGATGGATACAGTAATTGGAGTTCGTTTACTCATATTAGCACGGCGTTTGGGATTCCATATATATTGGGGATTTATTTTATTTTATTTTATTCGTTTGGAAAGAGATGCAGATGAGATGGATGGATGGATGGATGTTACAGCATGCATACATACACTACACGAAGTTAAGAGAGATATAAGAGAGGGTGGGAAAGTTACGAAGTTTCTTGTATATACATACTATGGAGGGGTGGTTCGTGAGTTTTGAGAGTAGGCTAGGGTATATTATGTGCTTATATACCTATTCATCTATACAGTGAGGAATGATAATAAAGAGAGTTTTCTTCGCCTCAACTTTATTCTAGCTACCTGGTTGTGTTTTTGCTCATGGGTTTTAGGCCATGTTAGAGATGCTGTGGTTATAAGTATGATTACAATGTAGGCCGAGATATGAAGGCTTAAGTGGGACTTTGTTCCTTTCTTCTATGTAAGTTTATATAGAGAGAGAAAATCAAGGAATAGTCCCTCTCATTCTCTCTCTTTCTCTCCTTTTCTCACTTTTTCTGTTTCTCTTTCCCGTTTCTCTTTCCCTTTCCCATTTTACTACTACAAATAGCTGGAGTGTATAAATATCCTCGCTTGCCACAAAAGTTTGTCGGGTGTGTATTGACGTAATGCATATTTATGACGAGATGAGATTTTTGTGTATGGCGAGAATCGGGATAGATGAGATGAGATGAGGTGATATGATATGACAACGCAGAATGAGATGTTTGGGGGTATCTGTTTTTTGCACATTTTGGGGGAGTTGGATTTGTTGGGTGCTTGATTAATTGGCTGAGGGAGGGAGGGGTTAGAGGGAGGAAGAAGAGGAGTTGGGGTTTGGGCTGTGTTGAGGACGGTGATTCTTTTTGGAAGGGGTAGAGAGAGTCATGAGTTTGTCATTTGTTGTACTGGGTTTTTGGAGTCAGAGGGGAGTGAGTAGTCATTCAGAAGACAAATCGCCCTCTTAAGGCTGTGAGAATCTACACCCATGAGGAATTGAGAGATACCATCAACATCGTCAAAGTTCACAGTAGATTTATTCAACCCTTGACTATCCACAAGTTGTACAAATCTTTCCTCCTCTTGCTTCCAAAGACATGCTTTTCAGTATCGTTAACTCACGCCCCAAACTCGCAAATACGAAAATCGCTATATGATTAGCGACCAGTGCTTTGCTCCTCCCTCTTTCTTCATCGACTTATCTATTTAGACTCTAGAAATTTGCATCATGCATTCGGGTTTTTACTCACAACTTACAAGACGATACCATCATTTCATCGTCAATCACACTTCACAACTTCAATAACACACCAGGTAACCCCTCATCATCTATCTCCACCCATCACATCACATATCAACCCCCCCTCCCCCTGATTCTGAACCCCTAATTTCAAATATTTTCTAATCTCAAAATAAATAGCAGTATATCGATAATGGGAGTAGGACCAATTATTGGTATTACAGTTATTGCAGTGTTGCTTGTGGGCTTGGGAGTTGTTGTTTTGTGGAGTAGGTATGATTCGAAGAAATGAGGGGAATGGGGGTGGATGGTTGGGGTTGAAACTGGGGATGGAGAGGGAGTTGGAGTTGGAGAGGTAGGGGATGAGGGTTAGCGCTGAGAGGACGGGGTTGGGATACTGGATAGGGAAAGCGGGATGGATAGGTAGGGGGATGAAAATGGATTGGCGGGAAGAAACTTGGTGAGGAATGAGTTGTGTATCTCTTTGGCGAGGCATATTGTGGGTATAGCAGTTGTCTGTTTTGGCAAGTAGCTGAAGTCGAAGGTCAGATTTGGATTTGGATTTGGATTGGATTTTAATGGCTATGTCGTTGATGTTATTAGAGTGGAATACAAGGGAATTGAGTTACAGATCTATGGTTTCGAGTCTGTGAGAAAATCATTGTGATGAAGTATCTATGAAAAGGTTTTGTATGTCGAAAAGGGTCATATTTTTCTCCCCGTCATATACGAGACTGTTCTGATGTTATTGGGTCTATGATCATATAACCTTGAGAGACTTCTCAGAGCAGAGATTCGTAGAGCTGCTACCTACATCCCGAGGTTTAATCCCACATCTATGAGCTCTGAAAATCCCTTTTTAGCGCATATGCCTATGTCTGCAGTGAATGAGGTGACTAATTAGACACTCAAATATAGTGATACAAGAGTCATTTTTATGACTGATCGCATTGTTCTCCGAGTCACTCCGAGTTCAAGTCAGAGGACTGGTGCCCGGTTGTTCTGGCAGTATATATTTGAAGGAGCTTGAAAGGAACTCAAAAGATCTTAGCTACAACTATCTTCTAAAGCTCAAATCAGATTCTTTGATCGAGATCCAAAGCTCCTAATATTTTTACTCTTTTTACTTGCAACTACGAAATCTCAATATTCATCACTTGACGCATTCGCTTTTCAACGTGAGAAGATCTCAATTACAACACACCAACACACATACACACATACATCGCGTCGTTTATAGACTTGATTTAAATCAAAATTATCGCATCATAAACGCATTTTAGGTATGTATTCGCTTTATGTATGAACTGCGGATACTACTAACCTGAAGAATAGCACAGTATCGATAATGGATTACATGATGATTGGTATTGCATCAGCGGCGTTAGTACTGGTTGTCGTCATTGGTGCTGTTTGGTATCATAGTCGTGGAAAGAAGAAGCTTGTGGCTGCGGGATAATCAAGGTGTTGATGGGG